GGGTATTTGTCAGTGGGTTTTATGATTCCTTGCAGTCGTTCAGTTACATCTTGGATCTTAGCCCTGGGAGACAGCACACTTCCCGAGACATCTTGTCAGGCCCACAGATCACTGCTTCTGTTCCCCTCAGTAGGGAATCCCCTATCACCACTACACGCCTCTTCTTAGGTTTGGTCGGGGTTCTTCCGTGAGCTGTCCGTTCCAAGGTCGCCTGCACATCTTGCTGCTCGTCTTCATATACTTGATCGACTGTAATGTGGGAGAGATCCTCAAATGGAGTCTGCTCTTCGTCTTCCATGCTAGGAGAGAGGACCTCAAAGCGATTGTGTATTTCTAAACAATCAGAGCGAACCCTGGGCCTCCTACTTCTTTGAGTCACGTTTCTCCATATATCTGGCTCCTGTGTTGGTGTACTAGCCTCCTTCTCAGGGGAGTCCCCTGTCTCCTCCTTGGTGGAGACGTTGTGCTCTGTTGCTTCCAAGAAAAGCTCCAGCTCCCTAATTCTTTGGAGCGTAGCTACACGTTCCTCCAGTTGCTGGACTTTGTCTTTTAAGAGGGCAATCAACATGCAATTGCTGCAGGTAAAGCTGCCTGCAACCTTTGGCAAGATGGCAAACATTGCGCAGGAACCGCAGGCGACTGCAGCTGTTCCCTCCCCCTCCATCTTGAGAACGTGTCGTTGGGGGTGGCTACAGCGGTCCTCCATCATAAAAAGCGTGAAGACAGGACAAATAATTCCCCCCCAAAAAAAAACCTAGGTCTCCCCCAACAAACGTTTGAGACTAGCTCCCCTAAATCTAAAAGATGGATCAAACTGTGTGCGCCGCTAGGCCACAAAGAAACACACACACACAAGAAAACCCTTTTTGCTCCTTCTTCAACTGCTGCCCTGCCAGTCGTGGCTGACTCTGGGGTTGCGGCACTCATCTCGCTTTACTGGCCGAGGGAGCCGGCGTACAGCTTCCGGGTCATGTGACCAGCATGACTAAGCCGCTTCTGGCGAACCAGAGCCGTGCATGGAAACGCCGTTTACCTTCCCGCCGCAGTGGTACCTATTTATCTACTTGCACTTTGACGTGCTTTTGAACTGCTAGGTTGGCAGGATATTGTAGGTGATTTAAAACCCACCTGGGCAATGCTCACACCAGAACTCTGCAAGGTGGGCCAGGATTACAGCCAGTTTAGTGTTTGGGACAGGGGTGGAGACCGTTCTCCAGCCTGAGGGCCACATTCGCTCCTGAGCAGCCTTCCAGGGGCCACTTTCCATTGATGGGCAGGGCCAGAGTTGGTAGAACTATCTATGGAGGTGACTCTGAGCTTTGTCCAGGAGCTGCCTGCCTTCCAGGGATTTTTTCCACCCATACAAAAGCCCCCAGGAGGCAGCTGGGAAGTATTGGAAAGAGGGTGTGGCCCTGGGGAAGTTCCTGAGGGCCAGAGAGAGAGACAAAAAGGACTTGAGGGCCAATTCAGCCCCTGGGTCTGAAGTTCCCAACCCTGCAGTTTGGGTGCTGGGCTTCCACCAGGGAGACCCTGTCTCCCATCCCCCTGCTCAGGAGGGATGCCCTGTGCCCACTTTGGACCCCCTGATTATTTATCCTCCTGTCCTTCCTCCCAGTGTAGGGAAGATAAAAGGGGACAGACACACACACACACACAGGTTCCTAAGAGGAAGGACTAGGGGGCCATAAGCCACTGAACTTCATATCTCTGTCCCCTAAACTACAGTCCATGTTAGCGCATAGAGTGCTCTAAATATTTCCATCTGCTCCCCTTGGATGGAGCTTCTGCACCCTGGGGCCCTCCAGGTGTTGCTTTTCTTCTGACTGCAAATTCTGCACATAATTTAGGAGTTTTCCTTATTTTCTTTATTCTAAATGTATCAAAGGGTCAGAAACTGGTTTCCTGGGTGGCTGTTTGGGGGAAAGGAACAGTGAGGTCTGCAGAGGTACTGACCATAATGCTTTCTGCGAAGCTTCATTCAGAGTTTGAGATTTGATCCTAGAACTTTACAAACCGAACTGAAGGTTCCCTAAAGACTGAGGCAGCTTATATTATTATAAAGTTCCTGTAGAAAGGATTACATCCTTCCAGTTCTCTGGCTTTGTAATTAGTATTTATGGGTATTAGTTTATTAGTACTGGTATTTGTAATTTGTAAATAAATCTGCCTTTCTGTGAACTGTTCTGAGACATCCGGGTATAGGGCGGTATATAAATTCAATAATAATAATAATAATAATAATTTCTTCATTGTTTTCCTAAAAGGGCTGCTCCCTGCATTGAAGTGCATTGTTGCAACAGCTGCGAGAGTCCCAGAAGTGGCCCAGTTTATGCCTCCTCCTCCTCCTCCTCCGTCCTTTCCACTAGCAACGCAATGGCCTCTGAGACCCCCTCTGAACGGCCTCTTCTTAAAGATGGAGTGAAAAGAGGAGCCAGGCAGCTTCTTCAGGTAGGGAAAGAGCAACGGGAGCAGGGAGGAGGGAAGAGGCACAGATGGGACCACCCAGCCTCCCTCTGTGTTGAGTGTGGATGATGGGAATCTAAGAGAAGCTCTGTTTTCTTCTTCTTCCAGGCCCTCTTGACCTTTGAGGAGGTGGCTGTGTTTTTCACGGAGGAGGAGTGGGCTCTGCTGGATCCTGGCCAAAGAGCTCTGCACAAGGAAGTCATGGAGGAGAATTATGAGATGGTGGCCTCTTTAGGTGAGGGCACATTTTTATTCCTCTTGGCTGTTAGACGTTGGAGGTGTGAATCTGCTGTTTGAGCCATTTATTCATGTAGTGTCTTTTTCTTTGGCGACCCCTCGTAGCCGAGTAAGATTGTCTTCCATGAACACGGTCTTAAGGGTGTGTCCGTAAGTGACTATACAGGCCAGTTCTGGAGCCATACATTCTTCCACAATGGGGACATAGGTTTCCGGGCAGGAGTTAATCACAGCGAGGTTTTGCCAAAAATGCTTTCCTCGTAGCTTGTTTCTCCCTTTCGTCCTGAGTTTGTGCTTCTTGAAAGTCCATGAAGCCTTTGGTAAAGCTACTTTCCAGTTGGCACTCTTGCAAGCCAGTGTTTCCCAATTTTCTATGCCTATACTTCATTTTTTTAGATTAGCCTTCAGAACATCTTGAAACCACTTTAGTTGTCCCCCTGTATTTCACTTTCCATTCTTAAGTTGGAAATAGAGTAGTTGCTTTGGAAGACAATAATCAGGCATCTGAACAACCTGACCAGCCCAATGAAGTTGGTGTTGAAGATTGTAGTTTATAACAACGCTGTACTTTTATCAGTAGGTAACTCTTCATAAGCTGATATTGTGGTATGAATTCCCCAAAAAAACAAAAAAAGGGAAAATCAACAAAGAGACTCACAGGTTAATAATTGTGGTATGAGGTTTCCTGGTCCATTTCATTTATTAGCTTTTAATGGGCCAGCAGATACTTTATTGTCTTTGCTTCAAAAGATTAATATTTTTGTATATTTTTAGAGTCATATAAAGTAATATCTCTGGTTACAAACCGTCCTTCTTGTGAAAGCTTCGGCTTACGTGCTCCGCTAACCTGGAAGTATGTCTCCTGGTTGCAAATTTTGCCCCAGGATGTGAGTGGAATCGCTCCATTAACGAAAGTGTGCCTCAGGTTAAGAACGGTTTTGAGTTGAGAACGGACCTCCGGAACAAATTAAGTTCATAACCAGAGGTACCACTGTATTAGTAATATAGCACTTATGTTTTACTTATTCCACATAGCAGAGACTCTGATACTCAAGTCTGAGCTCATCTCCTCGCTTGGAACTGAAAAATACAGGCATGTTGTCCTGGACAATTGAGAGGTCCATACTTCCACTTTGCTGGGAGACTGTACCTTTGTATGTCTCCTTTCAGTGTGTAGGAATATAAAACCGGTCCTGAAAGACCTACATTGGCTCCCAGTACGTTTCCGAGCACAATTCAAAGTGTTGGTGTTGACCTTTAAAGCCCTAAATGGCCTTGTCCCAGTATACCTGAAGGAGGGTCTCCACCCCCATTGTTCTGCCCGGACGCTGAGGTCCAGTACCGAGGGCCTTCTGGCAGTCCCCTGATTGTGAGAAGCAAAGCTACAGGGAACCAGGCAGAGGGCCTTCTTGGTTGTGGCACCCGCTCTGTGGAAAGCCCTCCCATCAGATGTCAAAGAGATAAACAACTACCAGACTTTTAGAAGACATCTGAAGGCAGCCCTGTTCAGGGAAGTTTTTAATGTGTGACATTTTAATGTATTTTTAATCTTTGTTGGAAGCCGCCCAGAATGGCTGGGGAAACACAGCCAGATGGGTGGGGTACAAGTAAATTATTATCATTATCATTATCATTATCATTTAAAAGATCCATTTGGCTTAGAATGAGGGCCCATCTTTTCCAGCAGCCTGGTTGCAGGTTTAGGCGATGTCTACAGTGGGTTGGACTGTATCAGCAAGAAATTACAGATCATGGAGGCAGGAGAAACCTGGATACAGAGGTGCAACATTTTCACAGGAGGGGGAAAGTGTCTCCCTCTGGATGTGGCTGCACTACATCTCCCATCATCCCTGGTCACTGGGCCATCTTTACTTGGGTTGATGCTACTTAGAGTCCAACCACATCTGGAGGGGCATAGATGCCTCACTTCAGCATAGAAGGTTTCTCTTGGTGCTCATTGTTACAACGGGGAGTTGAAGGTAGAACTGGATACTAAGGGTTCTTGAGACTATTATCATATGTCCTTTCCTTTCCTAAAACTTTGGTACATAGGAGAGGGAGGAATGCTGGAGATGTTAAAATAAGAGAAGGTGCTGATTGGCCTTGCTGTGTGTTAAGTTCTCTGGTTCTCTTCCTTGAATACCTAACAATATTTTCTTATCTTCCACCCGCAACACTTTAAACCAGTTGATGGAGAAGGCAATCAGAATTCTGAGGGGCCATCTGTAAAGTACTTCACTGCGAGTGAACACCTTAGGACACATCTTCAAACTAATACTGAGGAGAAACCCTTTAAATGTATGGAATGTGGAAAGAGCTTCAGTCAGAGTTGGAGCCTTACTCAACATCAACGGACTCACACAGCGGAGAAACCATTTAGGTGTATGGAGTGTGGGAAGGGCTTCAGACAGTCTTCACACCTTACTGTACATCAACGAACTCACACAGGGGAGAAACCATTTAAATGTATTGAGTGTGGGAAGAACTTCAGACAGTCTTCACACCTTACTGTACATCAACGAAATCACACAGGGGAGAAACCATTTAAATGTATTGAGTGTGGAAAGCGTTTCAGTGAGAGTGGAAGTTTTACTCTACATCAACGAACTCATACAGGGGAGAAACCATATAAATGTATTGAGTGTGGGAAGGGCTTCAGTCACAATGGAATACTTACTGTACACCAACGAACTCACACAGGGGAGAAACCATTTAAATGTATGGATTGTGGAAAGACCTTCAGTCAGTGTTCACACCTTACTCTACATCAACGAACTCACACAGGGGAGAAACCATTTAAATGTATGGAGTGTGGGAAGGGCTTCAGTCACAATGGAATACTTACTCTACATCAACGAACTCACACAGGGGAGAAACCATTTAAATGTATGGAGTGTGGGCAGAGCTTCATTCACAATGGAATCCTTACTGTACATCAACGAACTCACACAGGGGAGAAACCATTTAAATGTATGGAGTGTGGAAAGACCTTCAGTCAGTGTTCACACCTTACTATACATCAACGAACTCACACTGGGGAGAAACCATTTAGATGTATGGAGTGTGGAAAGGGCTTCAGTTGCAGTGGGAGACTTACTGTGCACCAACGAACTCACACAGGGAAGAAACCGTTTAAATGTATGGATTGTGGGAAGGGTTTCAGTGAGAGTGGAGCTCTTACAAGACATCAACAAACTCACACAGTGAAGAAACCATTTAAATGTATGGAGTGTGGAAAGAGCTTCAGACACACCTCACCCCTTACTCTACATCTACGAACTCACACAGGGGAGAAACCATTTAGATGTACAGAGTGTGGAAAGAGCTTCAGTCGGTGTTCACATCTTAATATACATCTACGAACTCACACAGGGGAGAAACCATTTAAATGTATGCATTGTGGGAAGGGTTTCATTGAGAGTGGAGCTCTTACTAAACATCAACGATCTCACACAAGAGAAACCATTTAAATGTTTGGAGTGTGGGAAGTACTTCGGTAAGAGTGTAATTCTTAGAAAACATCAGCAAACTCACAGAAAAGCAACTGTTTAAATGAAAGTGTCAAATGTCTTTCACTTATAATGGAGTTCTTAATCAACACCTATGGTCTCTCACAGGGGAGAACCCATTTAGATATATGGAGTGTTTCAGGTTTTCCCCACAGAGTTCACTTTGTGCTTCATATCAACAATCTCAGATAGGGAAAAACCAATTGTAAATGCATGGAGTATATTTGATGTTCTGGTGTTTGTATGGAAAGTTGTACATATATGTGTTAAAGCAATGAAGGTAATTTCTCATAATTGTAAGTTTAATGCTAAAGATAATGTACTGTTAGGGATGTGCAGAATGTGACTCTGGAGTGCTCATTGAGAGTAAACTGTCACAGCTAAAATGGCCGCTGTTTCTTTAATGCGAATAAAGCTGGGTCAGCATGACTCAGCGGTCTCCACCAAGTTGTATATATAGAGTGAGAAATGTTAGTTTGGTTGCTGGTGTTTGGGTTGGTTGGTTAGTGCTGGTGTGTATAGTTATTCAGTCGTGTTTTGCACAAAGACTTTTAAGAATAAAACTCTGCAAGGATATTCTCGTGGACTCTTTTATGCAGACAAGGGTCCGAGGACCAGGCTGAAGAGACAAAGGGAGGTCAGAACCCTTTCCTTCTTTTTTTTGCTTGTTACAAACACTGACATAAATGTGCTGAGAGTCTGTTGATATTTGGTATTTGGCAGAGAGAGTTGGGAATGGAGAGTTGTGAAAAGTGGGGCATGACAGTAGTGTTTAGGAAGCAGGATTGGCTTCCTGCTTGGATTGGAATCCTAGAACTGAAGAGTTGAACGGGACTCTTAAGGTCTTCTAGTCCAGTTCCCCGTTATAAGAACAGCAGCATAAAGCCCATTTTTATAATTGCAATAAAGGAACAATTAAAACACAAAATGACGGAAAAGTAATTATTAAAGCTTGCTACATTGTTTATATTTTATAAATTCATTGTTTTACCTTCCCTTCTCATTCATGGGTACATTAACTGCAAAGGGGATAAAATCCCTGGTGGTAGCCGGAATAAAGGAGGTGTTGAGGGCAACAACCAATATACGGAGGGAAGGTGGCACAGGGAAATGTGGGCATTGCCAGTGGTTTCAGGAGAGTCATTTTCCTGCGGAGAGAGGAATCTGTGTCCAAGTAATTGGCCCATCTTTCAGAAATCGAGATGATCTGGCAGATCTGCAAATCTATTATGAAGCAGCCTGCCTGAGTTGGTTAAAAGAATGGATTACATTGGATATTGCAGACATCCTGGACCTAGAAGGCCATGATTTAAAATTTTGCTGGCATGCATGTTTATGTTATGGTGAGGCAAGAATTTACAAAAGCTTTACAGACCATATTGTAAGGGAGAATTTGTATAGAGTTTGGGAGAAATATAAAAGTCTGTTGAAAATTAAAACACCTTTACGGCTATCTCCTATTGAGGCTATTACAATACAGAAAGGTGATATGGATAGACAATGGGCAACTTACAGGGAATTGTAACTTACAGGCCCATTTTTCAGAAATCTGTAGAAAGAGCAGGCAGTATAGGAGGCTGAAAGCAGAGTTCATCTGGAGCTGCTCCTCCAGGTCCTGGAAGCTGCCCAGAGTTGGACTTCACCCCCAAAGGCCCCCTCCTCCATCGCCTCCCGAAACAGACGGATGCCAACAGGGTCTCTCTGCTTGACGAGGATTTCACCTGCAACCTCCTGCATGCAAAGCATTGAATTCGAGACCTTTTAAACTAAATCATAGAATCATAGAATCATAGAATCATAGAGTTGGAAGAGACCACAAGGGCCATCAAGTCCAACCCCCTGCCAAGCAGGAAACACCATCAGAGCACTCCTGACATATGGTTGTCAAGCCTCTGCTTAAAGACCTCCAAAGAAGGAGACTCCACCACACTCCTTGGCAGCAAATTCCACTGTCGAACAGCTCTTACTGTCAGGAAGTTCTTCCTAATGTTTAGGTGGAAGCTTCTTTCTTGTAGTTTGGATCCATTGCTCCGTGTCCGCTTCTCTGGAGCAGCAGAAAACAACCTTTCTCCCTCCTCTATGTGACATCCTTTTATATATTTGAACATGGCTATCATATCACCCCTTAACCTCCTCTTCTCCAGGCTAAACATGCCCAGCTCCCTTAGCCATTCCTCATAAGGCATCGTTTCCAGGCCTTTGACCATTTTGGTTGCCCTCCTCTGGACACGTTCCAGTTTGTCAGTGTCCTTCTTGAACTGTGGTGCCCAGAACTGGACACAGTACTCCAGGTGAGGTCTGACCAGAGCAGAATACAGTGCCACTATTACTTCCCTTGATCTAAATGCTATACTCCTATTGATGCAGCCCAGAATTGCATTGGCTTTTTTAGCTGCCGCGTCACACTGTTGGCTCATGTCAAGTTTGTGGTCAACCAAGACTCCTAGACCCTTTTCACATGTACTGCTCTCAAGCCTGGTGTCACCCATCTTGTATTTGTGCCTCTCATTTTTTTGCCCAAGTGCAATACTTTACATTTCTCCCTGTTAAAATTCATCTTGTTTGTTTTGGCCCAGTTCTCTAATCTGTCAAGGTCGTTTTGAAGTGTGATCCTGTCCTCTGGGGTGTTAGCCACCCCTCCCAGTTTGGTGTCATCTGCAAATTTGATCAGGATGCCCTTGAGTCCATCATCCAAGTCGTTGATAAAGATGTTGAATAAGACCGGGCCCAAGACAGAACCCTGTGGCACCCCACTAGTCACTCTTCTCCAGGATGAAGAGGAACCATTGATGAGCACCCTTTGGGTTCGGTCAGTCAGCCAGTTACAAATCCACTGAGTGGTAGCATAGTCAAGACCGCATTTTACCAGCTTCTTTACAAGAATATCATGGGGCACCTTGTCAAATGCCTTGCTGAAATCAAGGTAGACTACATCCACTGCGTTCCCTTCATCTACCAGGCTTATAATTCTGTCAAAAAACAAGATCAGGTTAGTCTGACATGACTTATTTTTCAGAAATCCATGCTGACTATTGGTGATCACAGCATTCCTTTCTAGGTGCTCACAGACTGTTTGCTTAATGATCTGCTCCAGAATCTTCCCTGGTATTGATGTCAGACTGACTGGGCGGTAATTATTTGGGTCCTCTCTTTTCCCCTTTTTGAAAATAGGGACAACATTTGCCCTCCTCCAGTCTGCCGGGACTTCGCCTGTTCTCCAGGAATTCTCAAAGATGACTGCCAGTGGTTCTGAGATCACATCTGCCAGTTCTTTTAATACTCTTGGATGCAATTCATCTGGCCCTGGAGACTTGAATACATCTAAACTAGCCAAGTATTCTTGTACTATCTCCTTAGTTATTCTGGGCTGTGTTTCCTTTGCTGAATCATTTGCTTCAAATTCTTCAGGTCGGGCATTGTTTTCTTTATCAGAGAAGACTGAGGCAAAGAAGGCATTGAGGAGTTCAGCCCTTTCTGTGTCCCCTGTTTGCATTTCACCATCTTCTCCTCTGAGTGACCCCACTGTTTCTTTGTTCTTCCTTTTGCTACGAACATACCCATAAAAGCCTTTTTGTTGCTTTTAACCTCTCTAGCAAGCCTCAGTTCATTCTGTGCTTTAGCTTTTCTGACTTTGTGTCTACACGTGCTGGCTATTTGTTTGAATTCCTCTTTGGTGGTTTCCCCCCTTTTCCATTTTTTGTACACATCCTTTTTCAATCTTAACTCAGTTAAAAGTTCTTTAGATAGCCACCCTGGCTTCTTTAGGCACCTTCCATGCTTCCGTCTCATTGGTATTGCCTGACGTGGTGCTTTTACTATCTCCCTCTTAACAAACTCCCAGCCATCATGAACTCCCTTTCCTTTTAGTATTACTGTCCATGGGATCTCACCCAGCACTTCCCTAAGTTTTATGAAGTCGGCTTTCTTAAAGTCAAGAAATTGAGTCCTAGTATGCTTGGCTGCTCCTTTCCGCTATATAGTAAACTTCAGAAGAGCATGATCACTCGTGCCTAATGATCCTTAAATTATTTATTCAAATTATTCAAATGATCCTAAATAATTTATTCAAAATAAATACAGCTTTGCCTACTACCATAATATCACAGAATGATCACTCCAATCCTCAATCCCACATCACGGTCATGTTGGCTCCCCCAATACCTTCAATAGGAACCCAACTACCGATTTGCTTGGCTAGACATTTCCAATCATTATATCCCCTGCACAAATACCTCCGTGGTGGTGATGATGATGATGTTGATGGTGATGGCATTAAAATACTGTGTTCTTCAATAAAGGGAGACTAGATTGTGTCAAAGTTATCTTTTTTGGAGATGCCTTTGATTAGACATCGATGGCATGTGAGGCATTCTGATGGAGCATGTACGCCCAATGCGACAATCTCATTGTTCGCACGATGGATATTAGGGTCACAGGTGCCTCAGGCACCCTGCTCTGGTCCCTGGCAATGGTCCAGATGTTATTGATCCAAGCCCCTATTGGTTTTTTAGGTTTCCTTCCATCATTGGGTAATAACTGTAGTTTAGCTGCTGTGGTCAGAAAGGAAATGAATTCTTTAGACTGAAGCCTAGAATATGGGATAAAATCCAGTTATAATTAGGCAAGTGCTGGATTAGGACGGATAGATTGTTTAGGGATTTTGGAGATCAGATAAAAAACTTCTCTCCAGAAGACGTGGACCACAGTACACTCCCACCAAACATGAAAATAGGAATCTGAGACCTTCTGCATGCAAAGCAACTGCTCTATCACTGAGCTGCCTCCCCACACAACAAAGCCTAACTTTCTCCATCAGCTTTCTCTTTTTTTAAAAAAGAAACTGGTGCCGGAATTTATGGAAATTTACGAAATTTACCAAAATCATCACAATCACTCCGGCAAATGTCCCTACAAAACATTTAATCAACCAGTTTTCCTATATTCAAAGGGCCTCCGCTGCAGATTTCCAAATGTAACAATTCACTGATACAGACGCTTCAGGTTACAGACTCCGCTAACCCAGAAATATTACCTCGGGTTAAGAACTTTGCTTCAGGATGAGAACAGAAATCATGCTCCGGCGGCGCAGCAGCAGCGGGAGGCCCCACTAGCTAAAGTGGTACCTCAGGTTACGAACTGTTTCAGGTTAAGAACGGACCTCCAGAACAAATTAAGTTCTTAACCCGAGGTACGACTGTATCAGATTTGCGCCATTCCAAGTTTGTTCTGTTCAGGAAAGGAATGGGCGTCTTGGACGTGGGCAGAGGCAGCCATGATCCCTGGAGCCTGAGACCACGTACTCAGAAGCCTCTTTGCCTGGCCAATAATCGCTGGCATTCTGGCTCCTGTGTTGTAGCCATATCAGAAACAAGGTAAACCCGGCCGCAGTTTTTTTAGGATCTTGGTCGAGACAAAAGGGAGTGATTAACTTGACTAGGAGAACAGGAACATGTACATCAGGAATGTTCAACAGGTTGATCACGATCTACCTGTCAATCATGGGATGTGTAATAAACGTAAATCTGCCCTTATTCCCTTATGGGGAACACAAGAGCCCTTATAGAGTCCTTTGCAGGTTTTCCATCAGTCGGATAAAATAACAGAGGCCAATCAGAGAATATTGAGAAGCAAAGCAGCTACTAAGCCTGGTCTTTATTGAACTGTTGCAACAGGGTGCTCCCCTCACACGCAGGAGAAGGAGGACACAGAACAAAGGTGCGTCTGCCCTTATATAGACATTTTAAATTGCCAGCCCTGGAGTCCAAGACCACCCCCAGAAACATCATACCTACACCACAGAAAGGGTGGTCTACAACAGAAATCTGAGTGCGTTATTTACCTCTTGTCTGTCAGATTACCTGTTAATGCTTACTTGATTGGATACCCTGGGGGGCCTGGCCAGTCTTCTGTAATGACAAATACTTAGTTCCTGAGCCAGGTCACAGGCTCACCCTATTCATACACAGACATACCCTTAAGACAGGATTTGTGAACAAAAAGACAATGGGGAGGCTCCCCCACCCCCTCCCTCCTTGCAGAGAAAACATTTGAAAATGGTTTCAGGGCAGTCCTCCTGTGCTGCTCCAGACATGTGGTCCACACATCTATGTATGTGCTTGGTTGGCACATTTATGAACAGTTATTATATATACATATAAGATCTTAAAATTTTTAGTTCAGATGTCATTGTGAAGGAAGGTGAGGACAGGTGACCTCACCTAGGCCCGAAGTCACCCCCCACCAAAGCAGGCTCAAAGCTTCTCAAAATCATTTTCTCAGCAGCTAAGCATCAGAAACATTCCGCTCTGCTGTAACAAAGATAGAGAACAGTCCATTGTTTCTCAGGCCTTTCTCATGTCTTCTGGCCTTGCTAAAGAACCACATTGCAACTTACTTTCTGTCCGGGAACCATGCCAGAACAAGAGATTGAAACATATCTGAACACTCTGAAACCCCTTTCCTGGGAAGGGTGCCAAGAGTCCCAATAGTCCCAAGACAGCTTTCTGTTCATGCTCAGAGGAACTCATGGGTGTAGCAGGAACCCCCCACCCCAATCATTCAGTTTGTACAAACTTCACACACTCACACACTACATATGCCACACCTCTGTTATAAATTCATAGAAAAAATCAACCATACATCGGATTTGCACTGTTCCATTTTTATTTTACTCCATATGACAAGGACTATCAAAGGGGGGTGGCTTGGTTCTGGTCAGCCATAATCCCTTCACCATCCCAGCACATCCACAGGAGCCCTGCCCAGTTGCTATGCCAACCCTGATGGTCCTAGACAGAAGACCATCAAGATCACAAAGAACTTGCATATGGGAGTGGATTCAGCATGGACTGAAACAAAGGACAATGATCAGATCTTCCCTCTGGGGGCAGGAAACTGCGACTACCTTTTGTCTTCAGAAAATGACTCATGGGGAGGGGTAGAGGGGAACCAGCCAGGTGACAGGACACTCAGGTTACCACCACAACTCCTCCCTCAACCCCTCCTTTCTGTAATGTATGCATGATGTTTCTGGGGGTGGGCTTGATCTACAGGGTGGGAATTTCAAAAGTTTTTATAAGGTCTTGCACACCATTTTCTGTGTCTTTCCTCTCTCCTGCAAGTGAGGGGAACACCCTGTTGCAACAGTTCAATAAAGGCCAAGCCTACAGGCAGCTGTTTTGCTCCAAGTTATCCTGGTTGGTGTCTTTGTTTTTGTCCAAGGGAGCCCTCGGATTTTTCCGGTAACATGGGGCAGGACTCTGGAAAAGGTTCCCACCCGAGGGCAAAGCCTCATAAGGCTACAATTGGTCGATTGTTGTCAGTCACAGGACCTTTAGCGATCTACGTGACCCACGAAACGAAACAACGAAAAATGTTGGCGGGACCCTTCGTGACCAAAAAAAGAAAAATGTCCGCAACTGTTCAAACCCTCCTCCCCATAAAAAATGCTCAACAATTTTGGTCCCCCCCCCAAAAAAAGGCTCAACAACTAGCTCAACAACTTTTCCTGTCAGTAACAACTGGTAGATCACAGCCAGTAGTTTAACACTGTGAGTAGATCGCTTTTTCTTGGGAGTTGGAGGTACCTAATGCACATAATCACCTTTGTTTTACTTAATGGGAGTGAAGTGCAGGTCAAGGGAGGGATGGAGGCAAACCTGCCAGAAATGTGTGATGCTGTATTGTTTTTAATATTCGGTTGGAAGCCGCCCAGAGTGGCTGGGGAAACCCAGCCAGATGGGCAGGGTACAAATAATAAATTATTATTTATTATTATTATATAGAAGACCCCTCCCAGGTTATGACATAGCTGTGATGTATATATGACGTATGTATAATGTTGCACTCAACACATAAGGGTGTTGAGTGTAAAAAGGGAAGCTTATACAAAAGAGACCTTCTTGCTGCTTCTTCCATGTGGTGGGTAGAAGTCCTGTTGCAACAATAAAGATCCCGGGGGGAGGCTTTTCAGAAATCGGGGTGGGTCCTCTTTCGCTGCCGCTGCAGGTAATCGAACCCATGAATTTCTCACTAAATAAACGGGAATGTAGAGCTTGCCGGCTGGGAAGGAAATTCATGTTTGCAGGGAGGGGGAGGCGGATCTCCTGCCCCTCCCCCTCCCTCTGGGTCAATGAGCTCCGCTTCCTAGAGAGGCAGGAAATTTGTTTTTCTTTTTTTGGGTGGGGAGAGGCTATTTGGAGGGGAGGGGTCTCCGTCCTCATTCCCGGAAGAGAAGCGCACTTGGAGAAGAGGAGAAAGAGGTGCCGCATATTTGGGCGGTTATTTGGGGAGGGGGGGTGGGAGAAGGATTTGCTTTCCCTCTCCCTGAATCTACAAAGAGGGCAGCTGGGAAAGGAGGCGGGAGGATTGAGGGGGGGGGGAGAGAGAAAGGAAATCATGGAGGGACTCTGCCCTTTTCCTGTGGGAATGGGGGGGGGGGGGCTGGATGCAGGCCTTCCTGTTGCAAAGTGGGATCGCCCTCCCCCAACAGGGTTTGCATTGCAAGATCTTCTCTGAAGCGCAGAGATCAAGCCAGGCTCCCATGGTTGGGGGACGGGGGGGGGGGAGCGAAGACACTTGAGACGAACCACAAAAGGTTCCCCCCCCCCCAGTGGAACTTAATTAATTACAAAGGGATTTGCAGCCCCACCCTGTGCATGTTGACTCAGCAGTCAGTCCTCCTCCGTTCAAAGGGGGGGCAGCCCCATTCCACCTAGTGATGCTTCTCTCTGTTTAACACCCTCCATCTCCCTTCTCACTCCTGCCCCCCTCCTGCCCCCCAGGCTCTGTCTCCAGTGGCAGGGGAGGGCTGAGCTCCTCCAGGACCCTGATCTGCCCCCTTCCGAAATGTGCTGCTGAAGCCCTTGCCTCAGTGGGGCTCCTGGTAGAGCTGGTTCCATGGGGGAAGATATGGAGGGCAGGCAGCGGCTATTGTGAGGAGTTGGCAAAAGGAAACAAGGATATGCTTCTTGAGTAGGGGGTGGCCCCCATGTCGGCAGAGGGGGGAACAATGGGGGAGGGTTTGCTGTCCTGTTTATGAGGCCCTGAAGCGGAGGGAAGAGGCACATTTTGGATTTTCACCTGCTGCTAAGCAAGGAAAATGGGTACATGAGTGGCGGGATTGAAATCTAATCAGGCAGCTTCAGGTCTGTGCTCACGAGGGACCAGTTTTGACCCCCCGGTTATCTTTCACCCTGTCCTATCTCACAGAGTTGGGAAGATAAAAGCACAGCTCCTTTCTTTGAAGTAGAACTGCGAAAGTCCCAGAAGTGGCCAACTTTACTGCTCCTCCGAATCGCCTCACCAATGGCCTCAGAGGCACCGTTTGGACCTTCTCTTCTTCAAGGTGGAGTGGAAAGAGGAGCCAGGCAGCTTCCTCAGGTAGGGAAAGAGCATTGGGGAATCAGGTTGGACGGAAGAGGCACAGATGGGACCACCCAGCCTCCCTCTGTGTTGAGTGGGGATGATGGGGATCTAAGAGCAGCTCTGTCTTCTTCCTCTTCTTCTTCTTCGTCTTCTTCCTCCTCTTCCAGGCCCTCTTGACCTTTGAGGATGTTACTGTCTTTTTCACGGAGGAGGAGTGGGCTCTGCTGGATCCAGGCCAAAGAGCTCTGCACAAGGAAGTCATGGAGGAGAATTATGAGATGGTGGCCTCTCTAGGTAAGGGCAGATTTGTAACCCTCTTGTCTGTTAGACGTTGGAGGTGTGAATCTCCTGTTTGAGCCATTTATTCACGCTGTGAAGAAACGACATATGAATAGGATTAGGCCAGTGGCCCATCTAGTCCAGCATCCTGTTCTCACACTGGCAAAGCCAGATGCCTCTGGGAAACCAACAAGCAGGATTCGAACACAAGAGCACTCTTGCCTCATGTAGTTTCCAGTATTTAGGGACACTGCTGTCTTCTGAGTGTGGAGGCATTGCAGAGCCATCACAGCGAGTGGCTGGCAATAGACCTCTCCTCCAGATATTTGGGCCATCATTGCTCCCTGTGGGATCGAGTTCCCTAGTTTAAGCTGTGTGAAGGAGGCTGATCTTTTATCTGTGCTTAGTGAATAATTATAATAATTTATTATTTCTACCCCATCCATCTGTCTGGGTTTCCCCAGCCAATCTGGGCGGCTTCCAATAAAATTAAAAGCAGCTCCCTAAACAGGGCTGCCTTCAGATGTCTTCTAAAAGTCGGGTAGTTGTTTATTTCCTTAACATCTGATGGGAGGGCGTACCACAGGGCGGGCACCACTACCAAGAAGGCCCTCTGCCTGGTTCCTTGTAACCTCACTTCTCGCAGGGAAGGAACCTCCAGAAGGCCCTTGGAGGTGGACCTCAGTGTCTGGGCTGAACGATGGGGGTGGAGATGCTCCTTCAGGTATACTGGTCCAAAGCCGTTTAGAACTTTAAACGTCAGCACCAACACTTTGAATTGTGCTTGGAAACTTACCGGGAGCCAGTGTAGCTCTTTCAGGACCAGTGTTATGTGGTCTCGGCTGCCACTCCCTGTCACCAGTCTAGCTGCCACATTCTGGATTAGTTGCAGTTTCCGGGTCATCTTCAAAGGTGGCCCCACATAGAGCGTGTTGCAGTAGTCCAAGCTGGAGTTAACTAGAGCATGCACCACTCTGGCGAGACAGTCTGCGGGCAGGTAGGGTCTCAGCCTGCGTACCAGATGAAGCTGGTAGGCAGTTGCCCTGGACACAGAGTTGACCTGCACCTCCATGGACAGTTGTGAGTCCAAAATAACTCCCAGGCTCCACACCTGCTCCTTCAGAGGTACAGTTACCCCATTCAGGAGCAGGGAGTCCCCCACACCCGCTCGCTCCCTGTCCCCCCAAAAGAGTACTTCTGTCTTGTCAGGATTCAACCTCTTAGCCACCATCCATCCTCCAACCACCTCCAGGCACTCACACAGGACCTTCACTGCCTTCAATGGTTCCAATTTGAAAGGGAGGTAGAGCTGGGTTTCATCCGCATACTGTTGAACACCCAGCCCAATCCCCCTGATGATCTCTCCCAGCGGCTTCATATAGATATTAAAAAGCATGGGGGAGAGGACGGAATCCTGAGGCTCCCCTAGCAGCACTTTCTGGACACGGCCCAGGAGGAAGTAGCGGAACCACTGTATAACAGTGCCCCCAGTTCCGAGCTCCCCTAGACGTTCCTCAAGGTTGTAATGATGATCCAGCAGAACTAGGAAACAGCTTTCACCTTTGTCCCAGGCCCGCCGGAGATCAAGGTCCGCATCTTCCATGCGTGCCTGGGGTTGTTCTGCAACCACCTGTTCAATCACCTTGCCCAAGAATGGAAGATTTGAGACTGGGCGATAGTTGGCCATATTGGCCAGGTCTAAAGATGTTTTTTTAAGAAGCAGTTTAATAACCGCCTCTTTCAGCGGGTCTAGGAAAGCTCCCTCACAGAGGGAAGCATTCACCACCCCGCAGAGCCCAGAGCCGAGTCCTTCCCGGCTCGCTTTTATGAGCCAGGATGGGCAAGGATGAAGGAGACAGGTGGTCAGTTTCACTCGTTCAAGCAGCCTGTCCAGATCCTCAGAGGTAACAGATTGGAATTGATCCCATGAAACTTGACTAGACTGGCCCTGCTCCCATGGTGGAGTCTACTTCCTTCCAAATCTGAGTGACCTTATCTGCAAAAAAACTTTGCAAAATCATTGCAGGAGATCTTGGGGCCCTTATTGGGCCCTGATGGTGCAGGTGGTTCCGTTAAATTATGAACCACTTGAAAGAGCCGCCTCCTGCTGTTTGCTGCAGATGCAATAGAGGCAGCGAAGAAGGTCCTCTTCGCTGTTGCTATTGCCACTTGGTAGGCTCGACATTGAGCTCTAACCTGTGTCCGGTCTTATTCAGAATGAGTTTTCCGCCACCAGCACTGTAGCCGTCTCAGCGATTGTTTCATTGCCCTCAGCTCCAGGGAGCTCCATGCAATCAGAGAGGGCGCTTTGAGGCCAGACAGTCAATAGAATCACAGAATCATAGAATCATAGAGTTGGAAGAGACCACAAGGGCCATCGAGTCCAACCCCCTGCCAAGCAGGAAACACCATCAGAGCACTCCTGACATATGGTTGTCAAGCCTCTGCTTAAAGACCTCCAAAGAAGGAGACTCCACCACACTCCTTGGCAGCAAATTCCACTGTCGAACAGCTCTTACTGTCAGGAAGTTCTTCCTAATGTTTAGGTGGAATCTTCTTTCTTGTAGTTTGGATCCATTGCTCCGTGTCCGCTTCTCTGGAGCAGCAGAAAACAACCTTTCTCCCTCCTCTATGTGACATCCTTTTATATATTTGAACATGGCTATCATATCACCCCTTAACCTCCTCTTCTCCAGGCTAAACATGCCCAGCTCCCTCAGCCGTTCCTCATAAGGCATCGTTTCCAGGCCTTTGACCATTTTGGTTGCCCTCCTCTGGACACGTTCCAGTTTGTCAGTGTCCTTCTTGAACTGTGGTGCCCAGAACTGGACACAGTACTCCAGGTGAGGTCTGACCAGAGCAGAATACAGTGGCACTATTACTTCCCTTGATCTAGATGCTATACTCCTATTGATGCATAGCCTGGTTAACTCTGCATTAGCCTGGTTAACTCTGCATTCCAGCGGGCCACCAGGGAATCAGCTGAAAGGGCATCAACTGGCATAAAACATTCCCTACCACTCTCTGGAAACCATTTGGATCTATAAAGTGGCGGGGCGGACCATCCGAATCGGTCCCACGTCCCTACAGAAGGGAAGGGTCGCGGAGAAGTCCAGTTGCACCAGGAGGTGATCTGACCATGGCACTTCTTTTGTTTCACTTTTACTTAGTGTCAGAGCACCCACATCACTAGAGGTGAACACCAGGTCCAAAGCATGTCCGTGACTATGAGTTGGGCCATACTTATTCAGGGACAGCCCCATGGAGGCCATGCTTTCCACGAAGTCCTGAGCGGCCCCTTGTAAGGTCGTGTTGGCATGGATGTTAAAATCCCCCAGGACAACCAAACTAGGTGTCTCCGGAAGAACATCCGCCATGACCTGAAGCAGCTTTGTCAGGGAATCCTTGGTGCAGTGGGGAGGTTGGTACACCAAAAGGAATCCTGTACTGCTTCTATTGCCCAACTTCCAGAACATGCACTCATAAAACTGGGTCTTCCCAATAGGATGCCTGGTGCAAGCTAATGACTGCCTAAAAAATCACTGCAACCCCCCCCCCCCGCCACCACCTGTATGACCTGGGTTGCTGTGTGTAAGTGAAACCTGGTGGACAAGCAGCAGCAAGCGCAGACCAAACAGCTTCATCCAACCAAGTCTCAAGCCAGATCAAGTCATAGATGGCAGTGGTCTTATTAATCAGTGACCTAGCATTGCACAGCAGCACCTTTAGGTCATATGGGTCTCCGTTGCTGATTCCAACATCCTTCTGGTCAAGACCAGACCCAGAGGCAGAAATAGTATTCAAACAACGACTAAACCTGCCTCCTCGGTAATGACATGGTCTAAGACATTACCTAGAGGAGGCAGGAGAAAATGGACTGCAGAAATCTAGCACTTTCAGAAGAGAGGGAAGGTGGAGAAAGTGTGTCCCTCCAGAAGTTGCTGCACTGCAACTCCTATCATCCTGGCCATTGAATGTTCCTGCCTGGGTGGATGCTAGTTTGAGTTTAGCCACATCTGGAAGACACATCTGGCCTCACCCCAGCATAGAAGGTTTCTCTTGGTGCTCAGTGTTACATGGGAGTTCAAGGTGGAACTGGATACTAAGAGACAATTTTCTTATATATCTACATATCTATCTATCTATCTACATATTTATATCATCTATCTCTATCTAAATCTTATTTACCATTTTCATTTTTACACTTGAAACAATAACAATGCTTCCAATGCAAAACACATAATTGATATTGACTCCCCTTCCACTCCTTCCATGGTTCATTTTGTTAATTTATTTTCCACTACATATTCTAATTTTCCCCATATCTTATTTTATCTCAGTTTTATATCCCAGTATTCTTACTGCTGAATTCATTCTTTTACTGTTATCTTTTTAATGTGTTTACAGTAAGTTTCCAAAATAATCTACAAAGCATTTCCAATCTTCATTTTTAAAATTATTTTTAATTTTAATTTATATACATTACAACAATTATTTTGCAATTATTAGTTTTAACATTTTCAATTTCAACTCCCTTCCATCTCAATTTATGCAGTTCCTTACATTTATTATCTTCCTTTCCTGCATACTCCAAATTGTCTTAACTTATTCTTTTATTCATCTATTCTCATATATCTCTCATATATATATTTTAAGCTGCAGGTTTTTACAATAATCCTGCCTATGTCTTCATCTGTTTACAGTTTGTGAATACTCAATAAACCATTTCCATTCCTTTCTAAAAAGTTTGCTATCTTGATTTCTTATTCTTCTGGTAAGTTTCACCATTTCTGCATACTCCATTAGTTTCTGTATGCAATGTTCTTTCGTTGGGACCCCTTCATCCTTCCATCTTTGGACAAATAAGAGTCTTGCAGCTGTAGACATATACGTAAATAAATTTCTATACTGTTTGGGTAGTTCTAATCCTATAATTCCCAAGAGAAAAGCTTCTGGGTTTTTTAAAGGAAAGATATTTTAAACATCTTTTTCAGTCATTATGTATCATTTGCCAGTAAGCTTTAACCTTATTACAAGACCACCACATGTGCAAAAGGTGCCTTCTTTCTCTTTACATTTCCAACATTTATTTGACTTTAATTTATACATTTTTGCCAAGCTACTAGGTGTTAACTGCCATCTATATAGCATTTTCATATAATTTTCTCTTAAACCATAACATGCTGTAAATTTTATATTCGTATTCCATAATCTTTACCATGCTTCCATATCTATATTATGACCAATATCTATTGCCCAGTGTATCATTGAAGATTTCACTTGCTCATTCTTTGTCTCCCATTCCAATAACATGGTGTACATTTTAGACATCACTTTAACATTACAATTTAACATGTCTCTCTCTAATTGTGATGGTTGTTCCCTAAACCCCCACTTCATATCCTTTTTAAATATGTAATTCAAATGATGATATTGTAACCATGTTGTTAACATTCCTGGTAAATCCTTCAACTCTTTTAATTTAAATTCTCCTCCTCTCTTAATAAATTTCTGTTAGTTGCCCAATTTTCCATCATATTTTTCTTTTTCTCCGCTATGGCTTCCAAAGGTGAAAGCCAAACGTTCCCCATAAATTTTTATATCTGTCCCATATTCTATACAATTTTTTCCTAATTCTATGGTTTGTAAAGCCTTTATGTACTTTCACCATTTCAATACCACAGATAAGCTTCATAATATCATATCCGGCAGGGAGAAACCTCCTCTATCTTTCAGTTCTATCAGTATTTTATATTTTATTCTTGTTTTTTCCCCTTGCCAGGTATATTTAGAAATATTTTTTTGCCATTTTTGAAGCAATCTGCCTTGCAGATCATCAGCATTTCCAATCTTCTTCAAATACTATTTTATCTTGATCTCTTATTCTATTTGTCAATCTTCCCATTTCTATACATTCTATTAATTCATCTGCCATTCCTCCTTCGTTGGCATCCTCCTTCCACTTCTGAGCATACACCATACATGCTGCTGTAGTTGCATATATAAAAAGAGATCTGTGATCCCTAGATATACTTGCATCTATTATACCTAAAAGAAAAGCTTCTGGGGTTTTAACAAAGGTCCTCTTAAACATTTTTTTCAGCTCATTAAATATCATTTCCCAGAAGTTCTTAACCATTTTGCATGTCGACCACATATGATGAAAAGTAACTACTTTCCCCTTACATTTCCAGCAGATATCTGATTCAGTCTTGTACATTTTAGCTAATTTACTCGGTGTCAGATACCACCTATATATCATTTTCATAAAATTCTCCTTCAGTGTGCAATATGCTGTAAATCTAAAATCTTTTCCCACATTTTTCCCAAGCACTCATCTCCATATTATGACCTATATCTCTTGCCCACCCATTATTATAATCTTATCCAAATAATCAAATAACTTCTCCTTAAATACCTGGTTTTTTTCCTCATTTGGTGCAAAGACTCTCACCAAGAACATTTTTTCTCCATCAACAATTGCCTGTATCCTGATAATTCTTCCTTGGTCATCTTTAAATAATTGTTATGGGTTCAAACCATGTTCTATATGCATTACCACACTTCTCTTTTGAGTTTTTCTGAGATTATAAACTCTTCAACAAATATCTTGTTTACTAATACTCTGCTGTGTCGACTTGCAACATGTGTCTCCTGCACTAAGAGATAATTTTCTGGGATTATTTCCTTTCCAAAAATGTGGTACATAGGAGAGGAGAGATTGTTGGAGGTGTTGCTGTGTGTTAAGTTCTCTTGTTCTGTGTGTTAAGTTCTCTTGTTCTGTTCCTTGAAATCCTAACAATATTCTCTTTCTCTCCTACTTTAAACCAGGTGATGGAGAAGGCAATCAGAATTTTGAGGGGCCATCTGTAAAGTACTACAGTGTGAGTGAACACCTTAGCACACATCTACAAACTAACGCAGGGGAGAAACCCTTTAAATGTATGGAGTGTGGAAAGAGTTTCAGTGAAAGAGGAAAACTTACCGTACATCAACGAATTCACACCGGGGAGAAACCATTTAGATGTATGGAGTGTGGGAAGAGCTTCAGTCAGTGTTCACACCTTACTATACATCAACGAACTCACACTGGGGAGAAACCATTTAAATGTATGGAGTGTGGAAAGAGCTTCAGTGAGAGTGGAAAACTTACCGTACATCAACGAACTCATACAGGAGAGAAACCCTTTAAATGTATGGAGTGTGGGAAGAGCTTCAGTGTAAGTGGAAAGCTTACTATACACCAACGAACTCACACAGGAGAGAAACCCTTTAAATGTATGGAGTGTGGAAAGAGCTTCAGTCAGTGTTCACAGCTTACTATACATCAACGAACTCACACAGGGGAGAAACCATTTAGATGCATGGAGTGTGGAAAGAGCTTCAGTGTAAGTGGAAAACTTACTGAACATCAACAAACCCACACAGGGGAGAAACCATTTACATGTATGGAGTGTGGAAAGTGCTTCACTTGCAGTGGGAGCCTTACTGTACACCAACTAACTCACAAAGGGGAGAAACCATTTAAATGTACGGTGTGTGGAAGGTTCCTCAGTAGTAGGGGAGCACTTAAAAAACATCACTTAACTCACACAACAGATAAACCATTTAAATGTATGGAGTGTGGAAAGAGCTTCAGTGAAAGTTCACAATTTGCCATACATCTACGAACTCACACAGGGGAGAAACCCTTTAAATGTTTGGAATGTGGAAAGAGCTTCAGTACAAGTTCACAGCTTACTATACATCAGCGAACTCACACAGGGGAGAAACCTTTTAAATGTATGGAATGTGGAAAGCGCTTCATTGAAAGCGGAAAACTTACTGTACACCAACGAATTCACACAGGGGAGAAACCATTTAGATGTGTGGTGTGTGGAAAGAGTCTCAGTAGTAGTGGAGCACTTACAAAACATCAACTAATTCATGCAGGGGAGAAACCATTTAAATGTATGGAGTGTGGAAAGCTCTTCATTGAAAGCGGAAAACTTACTGTACACCAACGAATTCACACAGGGGAGAAACCATTTAGATGTGTGGTGTGTGGAAAGGGTCTCAGTAGTAGTGGAGCACTTACAAAACATCAACTAATTCATGCAGGGGAGAAACCATTTAAATGTATGGAGTGTGGAAAGCGTTTTAGTGAAAGTTCACAACTGATCATACATCTTCGAATTCACTCAGGAGATAAACCCTTCAAATGTATGGAGTGTGGAAAGAGCTTCAGTCGGAAAGGAGTCCTTATTGTACATCAACGAACCCATATGGGGGAAAAACCATATAAATGTGTGGAGTGTGAGAAGAGCTTCAGTTGTTGTGAAAATCTTAATTTACATCAACGAACTCACACGGGGGAGAAACCCTATAAATGCATCCATTGTGGAAACAGCTTCAGTAATAGTGGAAACCTTACAAGACATCAACGAACTCACACAGGAGAGAAACCCTTTAAATGTATGGAGTGTGGAAAGTGTTTCAGTAATAGTGGAGCACTTACAAAACATCAACTAACTCATACAGGGGAGAAACCATTTAAATGTATGGAGTGTGGAAAGAGCTTCAGTGAAAGGGGGAAGCTTACTGTACATCTACGAATTCACACAGGGGAGAGACCCTTTAGATGTATGGAGTGCGGAAAGAGTTTCAGTGAAAGTGGAAAACTTACTGTACATCAACGAATTCACACAGGGGAGAAACCATTCAGATGTCTGGTATGTGGAAAGTGCTTCAGTCGGAATGGAATCCTTACTGTACATCAACAGACTCATGTACGGGAGAAATCATTTAAATGCATGGAGTGTGAAAAGAGCTTCACTAAAGGTTCACAACTGATCATACACCTACGCACTCACACAGGGGAGAAACCCTTTAAATGTTTGGAGTGTGAAAAGAGTTTCACTTGTAGAGGAAGCCTTACTGTACATCAACGAACACACAGAGGGGAGAAACCATATAAATGTTTGGAGTGTGGAAAGGGTTTCAGTCGAAGTGGGCATTTTAGAATCCATCAGCGAACTCACACAGGGGAGAAACCATTTAAATGTATGGAGTGTGGGAAGTGCTTCATTGAGAGTGGAGCTCTTACAAGACATCAACGAACTCACACAGGGGAGAAACCATTTAAATGTATGGAATGTGGGAAGAGTTTCAGAGAAAGGGGCAAACTTACAGTACATCAACAAATTCACACTGGGGAGAAACTGTTTAAATGTTTGGAGTGTGGAGAGAGTTTTAGTCAAAATGGACATTTTATAAGACATCAACAAACTCACACAGGGGAGAAACCATTTAAATGTATGGAGTGTGAGATGTGCTTCAATGAGAGTGGAGCACTTACAAAACATCAAGAAGCTCATAGAGGAGAAACCATGTAAATTGAAGGAGTGTGGACTGTGCTTCAGTTAAGGTCATCTACATACTCTCACGGGAAAACCCATTTAGATGTTTAGAGAGTGTCTAGTGTTTTCATCGTTCTTCACATCAAGAAACTAATATCAATTGTAAATGCATGGAGTGTTGTTGGTGTTCTGGTTTTTTTATGGAAAGTTGTATACACATGTATTAAAGTAATGAAGGTAGCTTCTCCCAGTAGTAAGTATAATGAAAGATATGATGTACTCTTAGGGATGTGCAAAGTGTGAATCTGGAGTGCTGTTGGTGAGTGATGACTGGGCAATAATAGGCCCTTTAGCAGCAAACAAATTTAGTCCTCATTTTGTACTGGAAAATCCTCTTCCAGAACAGGGTGCACTTTCTAATTTGTGAACCCTGTCCCTGATTGACAACATTCACTGCCTAGGACCTGTTACAGAAATGTTAGTGATTTTGTATTAACTTTTAAACAAGGGAAGGCCAATCCTGTTCCAATAGCAGCAGTCACCACACAGTCATTCCTCCCTCTTTTGTATGTGTGAAAAACCTCTTCACACACAAAACTTAGACAAATTTTGGCTGTTCTGTCCTGGTTACTCTGCAGTTCATAAGCCTGAACATTTATTGTCTTCAAGGCTGACAGCGTACAAATCAATATGGCTGACTTGACCCAACAACCCTTTTCCCTCACACACGCAAACGAAACTCACTGCAGCCTACTTAAGGCAACCAATCATGGCCTGGGCCACCCCACCTCTCTCACTGCCAATGAAAACTTAAAAATGAATAAAAAGAGAACCTACCCATGTGATGCTGACACAAAAACCTTGCACATATGCTGTGTAAAAGAACCAGTGTTTACTACCCCCTCTCTCCACCTCTTTCTTCCCCCCTAACTTTATTAATGTCTCACATCGTGTGTAATATAATATATAAATCTTTATTGTGCTCCAAAGACCCGTAACATAGATTCAGAATAAAATACAGATTCATACAGACAACCCCCTGGGAGAGGAAGACCGAGACGATATTTGTTCAGTCTTGAGTATGATGATCTTTGATACTTTTGACTACCAAAAGAAACTTTGCCACAGCCACTGTGATATCATTAGACTTGTCATCCAGAATATATTTAATACAGACAGTAGGCTTCAGATTTACCTGGGCGATTTGCCAGTAGGGGTTTAATCAATAGATCTCTAGCTTGCTCATATTGTCCGCAATGCTTCATACAATCGACATCCTGAGAGCATACACAGAGCCTATTCTGATAAGGGATGCTTCTCAGTCTGCCATTTAGCACTTCTTATGGAAATACATTTAATCTGGCTTTGGTAAAAAGACGCCGATAAGTTGGTACAGACAGATTTCTAAGATATGCAGGTATCTGAAAATTGTACCTGTAATGAATTCCTACTGCTATCGGGCCACAGATAACATGAGGTTGAGATCGGAGATCACTATGTGATATGTCCCAGAGCCTTTGCCTCAGAGATTCAAGGGCGGTATCGTATCCCAGATGGTACAAGAGTAAAGGTGGCATTCCAGTCGAAGTGGCTTTTCTGACCATAGTTTTCATCCATGAGCTGATAAACTCTTTGTTGTTTAGGTGTTGAAGTAACCCCTTCCCTAGGCCAAAGACTGAGATCTTAAGCCAGTATCTCAGGGCAGCCCACCATGCTTTTGTTGAGAGAGGGCATTCACCTGTCTCTAAAAACAGAATTGCATTTGGAACCTGTAAAAGGGACTGGTGAAACATTGCCTGGAACCCATCAAACATGGAGAATGAGCCATTGAACCAGACGTTTGGGCGTAGACAGATTTTGCATTAAATACCCTAATGGCTGATGGAACATAATGGCCTCCCCTTGTATAAAAGAATTGTATTATAGCTAGTTTGCTTACCTCCACCTTTAGATAGGCGGTCTGCCAATGGTGTTTCCAGGACTTAGAATGTTGGAATAGAAGCCCTAGGTACCGGAAGTATTTGGTCTGCTCTAGTTTGTGATCATCCAGTACCCATTACTCGGGAGAATCTTTTTTCAAACACCAGGACTTTTGATTTTTCATAATTAATGGATAACCCATTACCAGAGCAGTAGTCTGAGAATTTCCTTAATTTGGTAGTTCAGGTCAGGTCTGGATCGGGAGAGGATTGCCGCGTCACCCACATACAGCGAGAGAGGGGTGTTTCTTGTTCCTATTTTTGGAAGATGGCCATCAGGACCCATTGAGTATAACTGATCTGTAGAAAGGACTTTATGAAGTGAAAACAGAGGTGGTGTATGTACTTTTGTAACCCAATAAAATCTTTAATAAAATAAAAATTCAAAAAACGACGTCAGTATCTCAGATAGGCTAGATCAGTTCTGGCCTCTTATTGAGGGGAGACCCAACTCAGATGAGCTGCCAGAATCCCAGGAGGAAGCCCCAAAATCTGCCTTCTAGTTCGGATTTCACACTAATTCCCCCAAACCTCAGCCCTGAAAAGCATTTGGGCAATGATCTTTGGCACATAAATCTTAATGTCTGGATTGATTAACTGCCCCCCTTCAAATGGAAAATACCTGTATAGATGCCCAGTCGAGTAGGCAGGTAAGAACTTGACTGAATTCAGATGGGATCTGCATATTTCAGGTATTGTTGAAGGTACAGACTCAAAAGGTTTATCTACAAAACCTCAATGAATTAGGTTCCAAAATTTGAATTAATTCACTTCAATAAGAGGCCAAACCCAAAGATTTCCAACTATTTTCATAATGTTCCCTTTTTTTATCTTTTTCATGTTGCATTTTAAAAATCCTTTTCATAATGTACCACTTTCTCTCGCACTGTTGCAGTTATAAAAGAGAAATGGCCTCATCTGATCAGGCAAACTGAACTGGTCAGGTTAATTTGGTCACTTCTTTTTTCTTGGAGTTACAGTCCCTATCAAACCGACTCCATGTGTTTATGTTAGCTATTTTTGAGTTATGGGACACAGGTGGCGCTGTGGGTAAAACCTCAGCGCCTAGGACTTGCCAATCGCATGGTCGGCGGTTCGAATCCCCGTGGCAGGGTGAGCTCCCGTCGTTCGGTCCCAGCTCCTGCCCACCTAGCAGTTCGAAAGCACCCCTAAGTGCAAGTAGATAAATAGGTACCGCTTTATAGCGGGAAGGTAAACGGCGTTCCGTGCGCTGCGCTGGTGCTGGCTCGTCAGAGCAGCTTCGTCACGCTGGCCATGTAACCCGGAAGTGTCTTTGGACAACGCTGGCTCCCAGCCTCTTAAGCGAGATGAGCACGCAACCCCAGAGTCGGTCACGACTGGCCCGTACGGGCAGGGGTACCTTTACCTTTACCTTTTTTAGCAGTTTCACCCTCAAACCTCAGTGATGAAGTAGACTCCGCATACAAGAATTGAAGATTAACATTTACTTCTCAGGGTGATATAATAATAATAATAATAATAATAATAATAATTTATTATTTGTACCCTGCCCATCTGGCTGCGTTTCCCCAGCCACTCTTGGCGGCTTCCACAAAGACCAAAACTACACTAATACAACAACTGAGCAATTTGTATTATTCATATATATTCAGCCCAAAGCAATGTGTTTCTTTCCCTTGAGCCCGAGGGTTTAGTCTTTTTGCTTTCAAAAACAGTGTATTTCATAGCAATGCATTAATCCAGAGGTTTTCAGCCTTTTTGAGTCCTGGCTCCCTTGACCAATTTCCTTCTTTTTGTGGCTCCCCTGTGGGACTGAGGAGCCCAGTTATGCCCCCCCTTGCCTGCAGAGCTGGTAGCCTCTCATCCCTTTCCAAACACCCTTGTGCAGTGTTCCCTCAGCCTCCTCTCCCCTCTCCTTGGGAGTCCCCTGGGCAGCTGCTGCCGTCTCTGGTCTGCCCCCACCCCCCAAAAGAGGTGCCTCCTCACACTGCCCCACAGGGACCTGGGAAGAAGATGCTCTCAGTCTTAGTGGCCCAACAGAGACTGGCCAAAGGTGAACACGAGGGCAGCATCTTACCTTGGGAGGCAGCAGTGGGTGCTGCTGGGCCTGCAAGGTGGAAAGGCTCCCCTTCAGCACCGGGCACACAGCTCCCAGCAAGCCTTGTACACAGCAAGCACAAGAAAGGCCAGGATGGTGCCTGCCTGTCTCCCACTTGTCTGTCCATTCCCAACCTCAAGGACTGGTGGATTGGCTGGATGAGCTACCTTGACTGCTTGCTTGCTTACTTACTCTGAGGATGCCTCAGCTCCTAGTACTCAGCACCCCCTGGCCAGCCCAAGAAGCACCATTCACCAACATTGCTTGCAACCAGGGCTGTTGCAAAGAACAGCCTCTGGGAGGCAGAGATGCAAGAGGAGGGAGGGAAGGAAGGAAGGAAGGAAGGAAGGAAGGAAGGAAAGAAAGAAAGAAAGAAAGAAAGAAAGAAAGAAAGAAGACTAGAGGCCAGTGTTGCCTGCAGCACCCCTGAGCATCATTCAAGGCACCCCAGGGTGCCACGACACGCTGGTTGAAAACCACTGCTTTAGGGAACCCTCTGATTTTAACATTTGGGCCTCTGTGGTTTGCAAAATCTCTCTTCAGTGGGGACAATCTCTTCAAGGAGCCTCTGGAGAAGGTTCTGGTGGAGACCAGAGACTAACAGAACGCTCTCCAGAGTGCCAGGAAGGACAGCAAGAAGGGAAAACCAGTGTTCCTTTCACTCGTCCTGATACTCCTCCAGCCACAGGACTGGTAATCAAATTACTTTCTCTCCTGCTGGGACAAACCAAAGAGGTTCCCGCACACCAGCTGGTAGTGGCTTAATGTCCAGATTAAACAAAGCCCCCCAAAAGGGAAGGCACTCCCCTTTAACTACCAATAAGGGAAGGGAAGGAGCTCTCCCTTAACTACCAATAAGAGGCAGACTACAGCACTTTGCCCAGGTGTGGGCAGAGAGGACCTTGGACAGATGGGTCAACTGAATGACCTCTTGGGATTACTCCTTAGAGGTTCCAAGGAAGCCAAGGGAGATGCTTGTGGGTACGCCCCCCCATCCAAGATAGCAGACAAACACAAGGCTGACGTGAAGGCAATAGGACATCTGAGAAGCATAAGGGCAATTGTGTTAGGATCGTCCTACTCCCTTGTAGGACCCTGGCAGAGACACATGCCTGACTGGCATGTTCTCTCCCTCCTGGTCGATCGGGAGCTTCAAAAGCTTTCTTCTGCCGGAACATCACAGCGACTGATGCCAACACACATCAGCACACTCAGTGATCCACAGAGTGTTCGCAGTTTGCGTAACAGAACTCAGCATTTTGGCTGATCTACTTTATTTACATATAAAACACTCGGAGCATTCTGACTTAGCTCCTTCCTCTTTCTCATCAGACAGCAAAAGAGAAAGAACAAAGGACAATAGTCTCACATCACGGAACACAGTAACATCGATGCATCCTGTCTCCGTCACTTTCCACTCTGTGGAATGAAAACATACACTGTCATGGGATAGACAACAATCCCATGACTGCAAACACGGGGAATGAATCTCCAACAAATTGAGCTCATCTAACACAAGGAACAGGGTTGGTTCTGTTATCACCATGTTGAGCACTGCTTTCCTTTTGGGTGATGACGGAGGCAAAGTAGGTGTTGAGCAGTTCCACCTTCTCTGTATCACCCAGTAGCATTTATTCATTTTCTTTCAGAGGTCAGTCATATTATTATTACTATTATCATTAATCTCTTGCGAGCCTGAGCTCATTCTGAGCTTTGGCCTGCCAGACCTCGCGTATACTCTTCTTTCATGATTTCCCTTTTCATCCATTTCTTATACACACCCTTCTTAAATCTTAGCTCATTTGTAAACACGGTGCAGGCTTGCTGAGTTGGTGCCCAGAAGGTGGCAATATCGATAGCCCATCTCTCCTTTAAAGAGAATAATTTTGATATGCATCCACATATCGCCTGGCCTTTGGTCTAGACTGTCTGACCCTTGTTTCCCTCCCCTTATGGTTTTGCTCTATGGGCCACTTTTAAAATGAGGCTGCATTTTAAATTGCATTTTAACCTGTATTTTAAATTGTTCCCCCCCATTATGTTTTTACTGTAATTTTACTGGTGTTAGCCACCCTGAGCCTGGCTCTAGCCGGGGAAGGGCGGAGTATAAATAAAATTATTTATTGTTGTTGTTGTTGTTGTTAATGACTGGTTATCTCCACAATTGCCAGAAGGAATTTTCTCTCTTAGATCAAAGTATATCTAATTTGTAGGATCGCTATATATATGCGTGAAAAGAAGGCCATATTAAGGCAATTGATAGAGCTGCTTTAATCTAAGCATCCTTTGCTGTGCTTCTTAGTGCCCTAAAAGCTGGTACTCAAGATTGTTTCAGTAACAGGACAAACTGAAGCACTGGTCAAATTGTGACACTTTATTTAGAATAAAATAGGGTTGCTGCCGCCGCCCCTTGTCTTTGAGCACCCTGCCCCAATGACAAGTGCCTTCCAGAGGCACCATTCGCCCACAGAGCTTGCAGCCAAGGCTGCTGCGACAAACAGCTGTGCAAGCCTTTGGGAGGCAGAGATGCGAGAGGGCATCCGAAGAGGGAGGGAAGGAAGGAAGGAAGGAAGGAAGGAAGGAAGGAAGGAAGGAAGGGGGACAGAGGCCAGTGTTCCCCATGGCACCCCTGACCATCCTTCAAAGCACACTGGTTGAAAATCACTACCCTAAGGAGTCTGGCCAAGCCTTCTCTCCCAACGATCTCCAACCTTCTATGCAGGAAGGAGATGGCCTCTACAGGTTCCCAAAAGATTTATTCTCCCACCTCCTATCTCTGTCCTCAGATGGTGCTTTTCTAGCTGGTGGGGGCAAAATGAATAGTAATAATAATAATAATAATATTTTTCTTTATTTCATAAAATTCCAACACTGCTTGATTGTAAAAAGAAGCAGCAGCACAACAACCTCAAAGCGGAACATGAAAAGGATAAAATTAACAATAAGAAAAATTAACAAAAATAATGTGAGAATTTCCAAAAGTTTATACGACAATAGACTGAAAGCAGGTCAAAACCTTCATTAGCTTCCTAAGCATCTGGGTAGGCTTGTCTAAACACGCTGAACAGTCACTGAAAAGAGCACAGTGTATCATAAAACAATTCCAGGCACCACAAGATGGTTGTTTCTACACTCTGGTTTATTCTGTTCTGGTTCTTCCACGTCTAGTAAAGACTTCAGTTGCTAATGAAGTGCTGTTCACACTGAACAAATCTAGACTGTTTCTCCACCTGTGGAATCTTTTGTGTGAAGTAAGTTTGCTGCTCATATTTCATTCACTTAAGAGTCAGTTATCTGGTGTGAGTTCTCAGATGCAAAGTCAGGCCACCAATCCCACTGAACCTCATTCCACACTCCATACGTTTTCATGGTATCTCCTTGGCGTGGGGTATTTTTATGTAAGGTAAGGACACCCCCAATACAGAAGTGCTTTCCACAATCTAGGCATTCATACAGTTTCTCCCGTGTGGGTTCTTGGTTGGACAATAAGTGCACTCCTACAACTGAAGCTCTTTCCACACTCCACACATGTATGCAGTTTCTCCCCTGCGTGGGTTTTTTGAGGTACTGTACAGTGAGATGGTGATAGAGACTGAAGCTCTTTCCACATACCATACATTTAAAGAGTCTTTCGCCTGTAAGGGTTCTTCGATGTGCAGTGGGTTCTTTGATGTAAAGTAAGGTGGTGATTCAGACTGAAACTCTTTGCACACACCATACAATGAAATGGTTTCTCCCCTGTGTGGGTTCTTCGATGCGCAATAAGGTTTCCGTTCTGGCTGAAGCTCTTTCCACACTCCATACATTTAAATGGTTTCTCCCTGGTGTGAGTTCTTTGATGTAAAGTAAGGTTTCCACTCTGGCTGAAGCTCTTTCCACACACCACACATTTAAATGATTTATCTGCTGTGTGGGTTCTTTGATGTGCAGTAAGGCTTCCGCTCTGGCTGAAGCTCTTCCCACATGCCATACATTTAAATGGTTTCTCCCCAGTGTGAATTCTTTGATGTGCAGCAAGGTTTCCACTCTGACTGAAGCTCTTTCCACACTCCGTGCATTTAAATGGCTTCTCCCCGGTGTGGGTTTTTTGATGTAAAGTAAGGACACTACCAATACGGAAGCGCTTTCCACAATCTATGCATTCATATGGTTTCTCCCCTGTGTGGATTCTTTGATGTTCTGTAAGGGCACTCCTACAAGTGAAACTCTTTCCGCACTCCATGCATTTATGCAGTTTCTCCCCTGTGTGGGTTTTTTGAGGTACAGTGAGATGGTGATAGAGACTGAAGCTCTTTCCACAAACCATAGTTTTTAATGGCTTCTCGCCTGTGTGGGTTTTTTGATGTGCAATAAGGCTTCCACTCTGGCTGAAGCTCTTTCCACATTCTACACACTTAAATGGTTTTTCTCCTGTGTGGGTTCTTTGATGTAAAGTAAGATGGTGATTGAGACTAAAACTCTTTCTGCACACCATACATTTAAATGGTTTCTCCCCTGTGTGAATTCTTTGGTGTGCAATAAGGTTTCCGCTCTGGCTGAAGCTCTTTCCACAGTCCATGCATTTGAATGGTTTCTCCCCTCTGTGGGTTTTTTTATGCTTGACAAGGTTACCAGCACTACTGAGGCTCTTTCCACATTCTGTGCATTGAAATGCTTTCTCCCCTGCTTGGGTTCTTTGATGTAAACTAATGCTTCCACTCTGACTGAAGCTCTTTCCACACTCCACACTGCTACTTCCTGTGCATTCTTCCTGTGGACTCAGTGATACACGGACATCAGTGTCCTGAGTAGTAAGGGATTTGGTTTTCCAGTTCTTCAACACATTTCCTACATGCTTTTCAGGTGATCGTTGATTTACAAATGTCTCTTTCTGTGCTTCATGCCCCACATTTTCTACAGACACCACAGATGGCTCACCATAATTCTTACTCTTCTGCCCATTACCTGTTTTGAGGCAGAAAAAGAAAATGCCATTCAAATTACAACTCAGAAGCAGAGACTCTCATCATGGATCGAGCCCAGTTTTCCACTTCTCTGAGTTTACCATTTTCAAGCATGCCCCCCTCCTTCCTTCCCTGACCAGCTGCATCTGAAGTTAGCTTCTGAATATGCTTCTGACTATGAATATGTTGTCTCAAGACACCAACACAAGTCCCTTCTTGCTGCTCCTCAAACTTGCTGAGCTGTGTCTGCTCATCTCTCCTCTTCCTCAGAGCCCCATCCAACTGGATCTTATCCTTCAACCCAAATGACGAAATACAAAATAGCCAGACACTCCTAGTGCTACTACTGCCATGGCTCTCTTCCCAAAAGCAGGGAAAGGCAAGATCTTAGCTCTCCTGCTGAGGGATAGCAGAGGGGACACGTGGGCCCAACAGAACCCCCCTGGCGCCCGTGAAGAGGATCTCAGCTCAGTGGCACTACAGAGGACATTTTAATTTGGGGTGCATCTCAGCACATGGAAGGGAAACCTCAGCCTGGAGGCCGTCTCTGCTCTTTAGAAGACCCTGTGTGGGCAACATTTTGCAAATTGAGAGTGGCTTGCCTGTATGCTGTGGGGCCAGAGACATTTACAACAAATGTAAATGCGACCTTTGGACAGGAGCAGAGCTTCCACACACCCTTCTCTGTCCTCCATCCAGGCTGGCAAGAAGCCCCATCTGATTTCAAGGAAACAACCCAGCCAGACCAAAAACACTCAAGGAAGATGGGAAGCCGGTCAGGGTCTGGGGAGAAGAGAGGCCCAAGGGCCAGCTGGAGAGGTTTGAAGGCTGCATTTGTCCACCTGGCCCCACAGGGGCCAACTAAATACTGATAGGAAGCCCAGAAGCAGGACTTCTCTTCCTTGGGCCAGTATACCTGAAGGAGCATCTCCACCCCCATCGTTCAGCCCAGGCACTGAGGTCCAGAGCCGAGGACCTTCTGGTGGTTCACTCCCTGCAAGAAGTGAGGTTACAGGGAACCAGGCAGAGGGCCTTCTCGGTGCTGGCACCCTCCCTGTGAAACACCCTCCCATCAGATGTCAAGGAGATAAGCAACTATCTGACTTTTAGGAGAAAACTGTTTAGGGAAGTTTTTAATGTTTGAAGTTTTATTGTGTTTAATATTCTGTTGGGAGCCGCCCAGAGTGGCTGGGGAAACCCAGCCAGATGGGTGGGGGTATAAATTATTTATTTATTAATATTAATAATAACATTTATATTAATATTTATATTACTGGAGCAAAAAGGGCCCCACGACACAACTAAGACTAAGCGCATACCTGCTAAGGTTCCCCCTTCTTTGGGGACCTGGAGGAATGGATCTTGTCCTTCTTCCCAACAGGAACTGAGGTCTGATTCTGCCAAGGAAAGAGTTAATATTAGCTACTTTTGGCCAGAAAACATCCAGCCCTTTCAAATCAATCTGTATTTTTGACCGCAAAGGCAAAGAAGAGGGATTGCCATATCCAGATCCTACAAAGGCATGCAACATGAGCAGGAGAGTGACTTGTGGTTCCCATTGTTACAAGCGGTGTGTGTGTGTGTGTGTGTAAATGGATGGTGCTTCAGAGAGCAAAGCTGCAAATATCGTACATACACAAAAAGAGGGATCCAGCAGGCTATTCTTATTCCTACTCTGCATGAATAAATGGCACAAAAGAGTGGATCCACACCTTCAACATCTAGCAGTCCAGAGGCATAAAAATCTGCCCTTACCTAGAGAGGCCACCATCTCATAATTCTCCTCCATGACTTCCTTGTGCAGAGCTCTTTGGCCACGATCCAGCAGAGCCCACTCCTCCTCCGTGAAAAACACAGCCACCTCCTCAAAGGTCAAGAGGGCCTGGATGGTAACCAGATTCTGGAAGAAGAAGAAAAGATAACTTTTTTAAAGGTCCCTTCCCTACTTGACACACAAGCAAGCGTAAACTGGGCCACTTCTGGGACTCCCTCACCTGTTGCCACGATGCACTTCAAAGTAGAGAGCAATTCTTTGATGTGAACAATGGACAATACAGATTCATTTAGGGTTGGAGACATTTACACATATGGCAGACCTTTGACTGGCGAACAAATATTAAGCAAAGCTAGACAACATCTGGAACTGGCTAAATGTGCCTCAAATTACACTTTTTCTAACAAACCAAACAGTTACTGCACATACCTCTAGACCCTAGACCAGGGGTAGGCAAACTAAGGCCCGGGGGCAGGATGCGGCCCAATCGCCTTCTCAATCCGGCCCGCGGACGGTCCGGGAATCAGCGTGCTTTTACATTAGTAGAATGTATGCTTTTATTTAAAATGCATCTCTGGGTTATTTGTGGGGCATAGGAATTCGTCCATTCTCCCCCCCCCCCAAAAAAATATAGCCTGGCCCCGCACAAGGTCTGAGGGACAGTGGACCGGCCCCCAACTGAAAAAGTTTGTTGACCCCTGCTCTAGACCCTAGACCCTTACCTCAAAGTTGAAATTCTAATTACAGATACCAATCCAAAATCCAAACACATATTATCAAAAAAACTAAAAAATGGTGAAAACAAAACATCCTATGTACCCCAACTTTGGTATTGTTAAAAAATATTCTTTTAAAAGAGATAGCAATGCCAATTTTGAGCTTTAAACAACTCATCACCTTTGTTTTAGTAGCTGCACAACAAGTCTTTGATCAAAATTGGAGATTTCTGGAACACTTGCAGTTAAGACAATGGAAACAGAAAATCTGGACGATTGCACTTTCAGAAAAACTGACCAAGGGAGCTCAAGCATTAGTTGGAAAAAGCTACAAGGGTGACACATACGCTATGTTTTCCCACAGAGACACACATTGGGGGGATGCTTTGACAGAGAGTTGTTTTTAAATGTTTGTTATGATCAACATTTTGAAAAAACAAAACTTATACAATACATATAAATTTAAAGGGGGGGGGGGGGGGGAGAAGCAGGGACCAGTCCAGGGACTGCAAGGGAGAGACAGGGAACAGGAAGAATGTCAAACTTTACATAGAAGCTTTAGAAAACCATCTCTTGGTCTTTAGGGGACATTTAGCCTGGGTTTGCCCAGTCACTCAGGTTTGTGAGGTTTTAGGATCATATCCAAAACCTCTTAATGAGGTTTCATGGAAAACCCGCCTCTCTAGGAAGCGGGAGGAGGGGTGGTTGGCAGGCGATTCCCCCTCCCCTCCCTGCAAACATAAATTCCCTTGCTCCCCAAAAAGCTCTATTTCCCCATTTGCTTTGTGAGAAGGTCCCAGGTCCAATCCCTGGCAGAGGCAACGAAAGAGACCCCCCCTCCCAAAAAACTCATCATGTGAATGAAGGTTGCACAGTGTTACATCCCCCCCCCCCTTAACCCCATGGGAGAAAAGATCCCTCATTATTACACCTGTTTACAAAGGGGGGCAGGGCTGCGTCTGAGGGTGTCACCCCCCCCCCCGTTTATAACAGCCCCTCAGAGCAGCCTGGTGTCGTTAGGCCCGTTTTGCTAGAGGGGTTTTGAGCAGTACCATACGACAACCCTCAAGGGTAGTCCAGTGTCATTATTATGGACAGCTTTTTTCTTTTTAAGGCAGGGTCCTGGATGTTGGGCTCTGCTATTAGGGGCGTGGGCGTAGCTCAATGGCAGAGCAGCTGCTTTGCATGCAGAAGGAGGTGCCCGGTTCAATTCTTCGATTCCTCAGGGGCAGCTTTACCATTGGGCAGCCTCAGGTGGTTTCCTCGGAGGGAAGGATCCCGGGAAGATGCAGACTGGAGGCGAAGCCTGTCTCTCCCCTGCAGAGGAGCAGCCGGGGCGGAAGAAGCTGAATGACCAAGACGCAACGGCTTCAATGGGCTTCTAGTTTCCGGCTCCCCTGATTGGTTCGCCGCCGCCTCTCGGGTCTCTTCTGATTGGTTCTCTTTTTCCCGGGCCTCCATTCATCCCTTCCTGCCGCGGAATCAACAACAACCGGACTTACTCAGAAGTAAGCCCAGCTGCTTGTAATTGTGGCGGGGACCAGAGAGGTAGCGCGTCCTAGCTTTATATAGGTTTTCTGGAAGCAGCGCGTTTTAAGTCAGCCCAGGTGATTGCGATGCTATTTCGCTTCCAGGTAAAAGTGCACGAGCGTAAAAGCCTGACTTGGGTTACAGGTCTCGCCGCTGGTCCCAATGAAGGGAGAATTACTTGCACTTCTTGGCATTCTTCTGGTTATGAATATCCTTTTCCACGATTATTTTATTGCAAATAATAACGTATTGCAAACTGTGTCAGAAGTACTTCATTTTGTTTTAGTTGAGATCCCTGCATTGCAGGGGGTTGGACTAGATGACACTTGGGACCCCTTCCGGTTCTATGGTTCTAATTCCTCCAGTTAATTGGGGCGGGGGAGGGGCAGTTTCCCAACGAAGCCCCAAGAGCAGGAGGGCCAGGCGCAGCTCGTCACTCCGGATCTCATCCGACCACAGGCTGCTCTGTAGCCGTAGCTCTATGGTTAGGCAGTCTCCAGGCGGGTGGGGTGGGGCGTCAGTGGATGGGAAATCAGGAAGGGGAGGGCTGATTGAAAGAGAGGACAATCATAGAATCATAGAGTTGGAAGAGACCACAAGGGCCATCGAGTCCAACCCCCTGCCAAGCAGGAAACACCATCAGAGCACTCCTGACATATGGTTGTCAAGCCTCTGCTTAAAGACCTCCAAAGAAGGAGACTCCACCACACTCCTTGGCAGCAAATTCCACTGTCGAACAGCTCTTACTGTCAGGAAGTTCTTCCTAATGTTTAGGTGGAATCTTCTTTCTTGTAGTTTGGATCCATTGCTCCGTGTCCGCTTCTCTGGAGCAGCAGAAAACAACCTTTCTCCCTCCTCTATGTGACATCCTTTTATATATTGGAACATGGCTATCATATCACCCCTTAACCTCCTCTTCTCCAGGCTAAACATGCCCAGCTCCCTTAGCCGTTCCTCATAAGGCATCGTTTCCAGGCCTTTGACCATTTTGGTTGCCCTCCTCTGGACACGTTCCAGTTTGTCAGTGTCCTTCTTGAACTGTGGTGCCCAGAACTGGACACAGTACTCCAGGTGAGGTCTGACCAGAGCAGAATACAGTGGCACTATTACTTCCCTTGATCTAGATGCTATACTCCTATTGATGAGGCCCAGAATTGCATTGGCTTTTTTAGCTGCAGCGTCACACTGTTGGCTCATGTCAAGTTTGTGGTCAACCAAGACTCCTAGATCCTTTTCACATGTACTGCTCTCAAGCCAGGTGTCCCCCATCTTGTATTTGTGCCTCTCATTTTTTTTGCCCAAGTGCAATACTTTACATTTCTCCCTGTTAAAATTCAAAGAGCAAAGAGCAGGCATAGCAACCTTGGCCCTTCAGATGTATTGGGACTACAACTCCCATCATCCCTAGCTAACAGGACCAGTGGTCAGGGATGATGGGAGTTGTATTCCCAAAAATATGAAGAGCCGAGTTTGCCTATGCCTGACAAAGAGGTAAAGTTGCAGAGTGGTGGAAGGGCAAATATATAAAACTGCAAAATCAAGGCAGGTGTCAGCGCTGATGGCATTCTCCCATGACTGCCAGTGAAATATTTGAGGTGCAGAGAAATATTTGAGGTGCCTGAAAGAGTCAAAATGACTTTAGGACTGTTTTCCTGTACCTTTTCCAGACATGTGGTTATATATTTATGCATGTGTTTGCCTTGTACAGTTATGAACATTTATTTTATATATGTAAGACCTTAAAATTCGTATAACACCCCTTTTTATTTCTTTGTTTTTATTATTCAAATGTTCTCCATTTAAAGTGTGTGTGTGGTTGAACATGGGAGCCAGGCCTGTTGGCCCTCATAATAAATTTGCTTTATTCGTATCCGTGGGTCTCTCTTCGGAGTCAAATTCCGCTGGGGGATTCCCCTAGGCTTTGCGGGCCCTGGCACCCGGCACAGTGATTTTCAATCACCTTAAACCCTAAGAGTTTAAAATAGGCAGTTAACGGAAAGACGTGGGTCTATCGATATCTGCCGGATGCCCCCCCTTGTTTGGGTCTGTGATGGACAGCAGAGCCAGGCCAGTCAGGGTGCGTAGTCTCTCAGAAATACCACCATGGGGCTGGAGCCTCGCTCTGATTGGCTCCCAAGACAGCGAGGGGTGGAGCCAGCCCTTTTGGAGGGAAAATAAAAGGAGCCGTTTCTGAGGGAGAGAAAGGGCGGATTGGGAGAGGGATGGTCTGAGGGCGGACCCTGGAGGGGAAGGTGAGGAGAATCTCCACTGGGAGAGGAGGGTGTGGGGAGAGGAGTCAGGCGGGAATTCAACGGGAGAAGCTATGGGGAGGCGGACGAAAGCGGAGTGTCCTTCCAGTGAGGAGGGGAAAAGGAGACCCCCCCCCAAGCCAGTCACCAGGGCTGAGGGGATCCCCTGGGTCCGCGAGACTGACAGGAAATCCCTCCGGAGTAGCTGAGAGGGAGGAGAGCAGAGGAAAAGGGCCCCTCGCTCACGAACCCCCCAAGTCTGAATCTGTGGGGGAAGCAGGGCTGCGTCCCAAGGATTGAACGGGGACAAAACTCAGGGAAGGAACAAGAGGGAAGGAGCAGAAACCCAGGGAACATTTGGCCCCCGTTTCTAGAAAGCGGAACATCCGCCTTAATTATTATTATTATTTCATTTCTACCCCACCCATCTGGGGGCAGGGCACTAAGCGGCTGTCTTGAGGGACTCTGAGCCGAGAATCACAGAGAACTCTGCACATGCCCTGGATCACCCGGATTCTGGGAGGGAAGGAGGACAGCCAGCCAGGGGGCTGTGCTCAGCTTGGGAAGGGTTAAATGGAACAGAGCCGGAGTCCTAGAGAGGACAGGAAGTAGAGAAGCGGGGCGGGCTCTCCAGAGCAGAATCCCCTCCCTCCGTGCCCAGTCCCGTCTTTTGTCTCTTGTCTCCTCCCCGCGCTGCCTCGGTTTCCCTCCGAGGTAAGATACTTTACATTTCTCCCTGTTAAAATTCATCTTGTTTGTTTTGGCCCAGTTCTCTAATCTGTCAAGGTCGTTTTGAAGTGTGATCCTGTCCTCTGGGGTGTTAGCCACCCCTCCCAGTTTAGTGTCATCTGCAAATTTGATCAGGATGCCCTTGAGTCCATCATCCAAGTCGTTGATAAAGATGTTGAATAAGACCGGGCCCAAGACAGAACCCTGTGGCACCCCACTAGTCACTCTTCTCCAGGATGAAGAGGAACCATTGATGAGCACCCTTTGGGATCGGTCAGTCAGCCAGTTACAAATCCACTGAGTGGTAGCATAGTCAAGACCGCATTTTACCAGCTTCTTTACAAGAATATCATGGGGCACCTTGTCAAATGCCTTGCTGAAATCAAGGTAGGCTACATCCACTGCGTGCCTTCATCTACCAGGCTTGTAATTCTGTCAAAAAACGAGATCAGGTTAGTCTGACACGACTTATTTTTCAGAAATCCATGCTGACTGTTGGTGATCACAGCATTCCTTTCTAGGTGCTCACAGACTGTTTGCTTAATGATCTGCTCCAGAATCTTCCCTGGTATTGATGTCAGACTGACTGGGCGGTAATTATTTGGGTCCTCTCTTTTCCCCTTTTTGAAAATAGGGACAACATTTGCCCTCCTCCAGTCTGCCGGGACTTCGCCTGTTCTCCAGGAATTCTCAAAGATGACTGCCAGTGGTTCTGAGATCACATCTGCCAGTTCTTTTAATACTCTTGGATGCAGTTCACCTGGCCCTGGAGACTTGAATACATCTAAACTAGCCAAGTATTCTTGTACTATCTCCTTAGTTATTCTGGGCTGTGTTTCCTCTGCTGAATCATTTGCTCCAAATTCTTCAGGTCGGGCATTGTTTTCTTTATCGGAGAGACTGAGGCAAAGAAGGCATTGAGGAGTTCAGCCCTTTCTGTGTCCCCTGTTTGCATTTCACCATCTTCTCCTCTGAGTGACCCCACTGTTTCTTTGTTCTTCTTTTTGCTACGAACATACCTGTCAGAGCTGGCTCCAGGTCCCAGCTCACAGAGGACCAACGCTAGCCGGCAGTAATGTGCAAAAGTCTTTATTGAAGTACAGTTTCCATTTTCAAGCCGGAGCGCCCCAGCTCTACGTCTAGGGGTTAGATCGGCGAAGCTCCATCTGAGTCTCCGCCCCCTGTACACCAGTTTAAGATTCTAGCCTTACTCCACCTCTTACGTCTCTCCTTTCTCCTCTGGGTCCTGCTACCCCCCGGGGTCCCTTCCTTCCTGGATTCTTCTGACGCTGACCCTCCTGACTCCTCCCCCTCTTTTCGGCGGGCTTTGGGACCTGGCTCCCTATCCGGGCTGCCAACTGCGCCGCCCTCCTGTACATTTGAACTTGGCGCGCGCGCCCAGCCTTCAACCTTCCTCTCGACCGTTTCCTCGCTCCCCGATGGAGGCGTGGCCAATCCTGACTCATGTCCTCCCACTGGCAGTGCGCCGCCTGAGCCCGAGGCCAGGGACTCCTCCCCCCGACGGCACTCTGGTGTGGACGCTGGTCCTGATTTCCAACTGCTGCTCTCTGAGTCCCCTCTGGCCCCTTCTTCCTGGGGTGTCCCCCTCGGCACCCCCCTTGCTCTGACCAAGGGAGCCCCTTTCTGTGAATCTTCCGATTCGCTGGAAAGACTCAGAGACCTCGGACCGCTGTCATCGCTAACATTTCCTTCGGACTCCTCCCCCTCGCTCTCTATTTCCTCCCTTTCCTGTGCCTCTGCTCCTGAACCCCTGACATCCATCCCCCCCTCGAAGCCCCCCCATCCCCCCACCCCTCCGTCAGGTGTGGGTACTGGGTGCTCCGTCGTTGTGGGGGTGAGTGCCGGATACAGTTCGTCCCCCGTGGCGTGCATCCAGCCGGATAAGTCCGGCTCGTCCTCCGTGCTCTCGCCGACCTCAATTTCCTCTGCTTCCATCTCTTTGCCGCCGTGCTCGGGCCCAAGGTCCTCCCCCAACACGTCCATGTCCGTCTCTCCCCGGTCTCCTCCGGGGCGTTGCCTGCCAAGGACCCCCCAACCACTTCCTGCGCCCCTGCTCCTCTGTTTGATTGTCCCACCAATAGGAAGGGTCTGAGGCAGACCCGAGGGTGATCCCTCCGGGGAACGTGTTTCTAGTGCCGGTTCCTCGTCCGAGGTGAACCCCTGGAATGTGCTAGCTGAAAATGTGGGTGTGAAAAGCCAGTCGTCGAAATACTCGGCTGGCATGGGCCTGTGTGGGAAAAGGGCATGGAACTCGTCCTTAAGCCAAGATTCCTCCAGAGCATAATCTGGCACCCAACTGTTGGCGCTAGCCGAGGTACCTTCCTTGGCGAGGAGGTATTCCACTCCCTCCTCGCCCATCTCGAGTCTAAAATCTCTGTGACTTCGTTGACGGGTTCCCGCCTTGGCGACCCCCCCCTTGTGGGCGTTTCCCTGAACGGGTCTGGTGCCGTTCCTGGCTCCTGAAATCTATGAGGTGCTTTGTAGGGCGTGAGCACTGATCTATGGAAAACTGGGTGCATTCTGGATCCCTCCGGCAGTGTCAACCGGAAGGCCACTGGATTGACCTGTGCCTCGACTTGGTAGGGTCCTAGCTGCTTATGCCCTAGCTTCTTCTTCGCTAACGATCTGGCCGGCACTGCCTGGGCTGCTAACCAAACCCAGTCTCCCACCTGTATGTCTTCCCCAACCCTTCTGTGCTTGTCAGCCTGCAGTTTGTATGCGTGCTTTGCTAGTTCTAACTGCCTCCGAAGCTGTTCGTGAACCTCCTGCAACTCTGATGCTAAGGCTTCCGCTGCCTGTGGCTCCCCCTCCCCCTCTCTCGCTAATCCCGGGAAGGTTCTGGGATGCCTCCCGTTGTTGGCGAAGAACGGTGTCACCCTCGTGGACACGTTCTTCGTGTTGTTGTAGGCGAACTCAGCGGCGGCAGGTAGTCCACCCATGTTGCCGGCTGCTGATTTGCGTAGCATCTCAGGTACTGCTGCATGATGGCGTTGACTCGCTCCGCTTGTCCGTTCGTCTGCGGGTGTCTCGCCGGCGCTAGGTTGATCTTGACGTTCAGGAAACCCATCAGCTTCTGCCAGAAGTTCGAGATGAACTGTCGCCCCCGGTCGGACAGGATGGGGCGTGGCAGACCGTGAACCCTGAACACGTGGTCTATGAACAGTTTGGCGGTCTGTTCCGCCGTGGCCACCTTCGCGCACGGAATGAAGTGGGCCATTTTGGTGAACATGTCCACCACCACTAGCACTGCCGTCTTGCCCCTCGAGCTGGGTAGATCCGTGACAAAGTCCAGGGCCACCCTCTCCCACGGTTCGATCGGTGTCTGCAGCGGTTCGAGCAGTCCCGCCGGCGGTTTGTGCACTGACTTGGCCCTTTGGCAGGTGTCGCACCTCGAGGCGTAATCCGCGACTTCCCCCGCATCTTGGGCCACCAAAAATCTCTGGCTACTAATTCTACCGTCTTCTCTTTGCCAAAGTGCCCGGCGGTGGGTGCGTCGTGCAACTGCTGCAGTACTTTCGCGCGGAGGTCGTCTCCCGGTACGTAGAGGGCCCCTCTGCGGATGAGCAATCCGTCGCGTATCTGGAACTCGTCGTCCTCCGCCGTGCCCCTTTGCACCTCTGCCATCTTTGCTTGCGCGAAGGGGTCCTCCTGCAGTGCTCGGCGTACAGCATCCAGGTCCACGGTTGCTGAAGCGCACGCCCACGCTTTCGGTGCGAAAATGTGCTTGGCCGCTGCTGGTGCCGCCTCCTCGAGGTATTGCGGCTTTCTGGACAGTGCATCCGCCATGATGTTGTTGTCGCCTGGGATGTACTCTATCCTGAAGTCGAAATCCGCAAAGAACTCCGCCCATCGTATGTGCCTCTGGTTCAGGAACCTTGCCGTGCGCCAGTACTCCAGGTTTTTATGGTCCGTGCGGACCTGCACTGTGTGTTTGGCTCCAATGAGGAAGTGCCGCCACGCCTTGAATGCTGCATGAATGGCCAGCAACTCCCTGTCCCAGATGGTGTAGTTCTGCTCTGACTTGCTGAGCTTCCTGGAGTAGAAGGCACACGGTCTCCAGTCCCCATGCGGGTCTTGCTGCAACAGTACTGCTCCCACGGCTCTGTCTGAGGCGTCCGTTTCAACCCTCATCGGTCTGCTGGGATTCACATGCAGTAGCTGCTCTTCGGACGAGAAGAGACGGCTTGAGTTTCTGAAAGGACTGTTCCGCTTGCTCCGTCCAGATGAACTTCTTCTTCTTGGAGCTGAGTGTGTCGGTAATGGCTGCCGTCTGCATCGCGAACCCCTTGATGAACTTGCGGTAAAAGTTGGCGAAACCGACAAACCGTTGGACCTCCTTCCGATTGCGCGGGCTCTTCCAGTCCAACACTGAGCGAACCTTGGCGCTGTCCATGGCGAGCCCCTTGTCCGACAACTTGTAGCCCAGGAAATCTACTTCCTTCATGTCGAACTGGCACTTTTCCAGCTTGGCGTACAGCCTGTGCTCCTGCAGTCTCTGCAGAACTTCCTTGACGTCTCCCTCGTGGGCCTCCTCTGATTCTGAAAATATCAGGATGTCGTCCAGGAAGCAGACGCATTTCTTGTAGAGGAGACCCGCCAATACGTGATGCATGAAGGCTTGAAAACAGTGGGAGCCATTTTGTAATCCAAAGGGCATAACTCTGTATTCATAGGTGCCCAGGGCGTGAACATGGCAGTCTTCCATTCGTCGCCCTCCCGCATGCGAATCAGGTTGTACGCCCCTCGCAGATCCAACTTTGTGAAAACGCGTCCTTTCCTCACCGTTGCGAGCAGGTCATCTATCTTGGGCATGGGAAAGGCTGTGGGCTTGGTTTTTGAGTTCAAAATTCTATAGTCCACCACAAGCCTTTTTTGGGGCGTGTCCTTCTTCTTCACAAAGAATACAGGACTGCCCCCCACTGCCTTCGACTCCCGGATGAAACCGCGCTTCAAGTTGAGGTCTATGAACTCCCTGAGTTCCTGCAGCTCGTCTTCGGACATGGAATACAGTTTCCCGGTTGGCAGCGTCGCCCCTGGCAGGTCAATCTTGCAGTCATAAGACCTGTGGGGGAGGTAGCTTGTCCGCTTCCTTCTGCAGAAAACCTCCAAAAACGCTGCGTACTTGAGTGGCACTGCTTGCAGCGTGCCTAATTGTAGCTGCGGGTCATCCTCTTCCCCTTCCGGGCTAGGCAGAATGCAATGTTCCGCACAGTATGAGGAGCCGAAGGTCAGTTGTCGCTGGTACCACGCCAATGCTGGGCTGTGCCTGTGCAGCCAACTCATGCCTAATACTATAGGCGTGTCCGACAGTTGGGTGACATTGAAGCTGATGACTTCTCGGTGATTCCCAATTTGCATCACCATCGGGGCGTTTGCTGCACCGCCTGCCCCCAGCAATTCCCTGCCATCCACCGTGACAACTTTCAGAGGCAGCGTGGCTGGCAGGAGTGCTATGTTGTGCTCTTGAAGGAAATCCAGTCCTATGAAGTCTGCGTTACTACCAGAGTCAATGGTAATCGGCACTTCCATAGTGAGTCCATTGGGTAGTTGGAGCGATGCTGTGAGCTGCACCACTGGTTTGGGCGGGAGGGGTCTGTGGGCTGCAAAATCTCTGGGGACGGCTTCATTGACTTGTCTGGTTGGGCCCCAGTGCCTCTTCCTCCAACCAGACTCTGTCGTTTCCCTGCTGTGTTTCTCTCTGCTGAGTTGCTTCTGTTACTGTTGCTGAGGCTGCAGTGTGCTTGTGGAGCCTCTGGGGACACTCTTTCGCCATGTGCTGAGCACTGTCGCAGATGTAGCACTTCCTGTTCCCTCTAGGAGGCTTCGCTTTGACTGCTCCCGGTGTTAAGGCTCTGGTTGTTGACTGAGCCCTGGCGCCTCCAATCTCCATCGGTTGCTCTCCCCCTCCTTGCGGAGGTGGGGATTGCACACGCGCTGTATCCTTGGGAAAGAGGGGGGTGCTCTCACTGGCGTACGTCCCCAACGTCCTTCTTCTCTGTTCCATGGACGTTCTTCCAGACGCACCCCAATTTGCAGCGCCCGCCGGACAACCTCCTGAGTGCTCTTTGGTCTCTCCCCCCTTGCAATCTCATCTTTCACATTTGCATTCAAGCCTTCCCAAAAAAGGTCTCTGACTGGGGCAGAATCCTTCTCCCATCCCAGCGCATGGACTAATGCAAAAAAGCGGGAATGGTACTGCCTTACACTGGCTCTGCCTTGTTTGAGCCCATGTATGTCTTTTCTGGCGATATCAATGTCTATATTTGATAAAAAACACGAATCCATCGCTTTAATGAATGCATCCGCATTTTGGAGCGCCGGATCCTTATCTCTCCACAGATTGCGCAGCCACGCTTTAGCTTCCCCATGCAAATGGGACAAGATAAACCCACCTTCTCTTGCTCATCTCTAAAGTCTTTATCCAGCAGTTCCAGCGCAAACAGCACGTCTGCTCGGAAGTTAGGGTACTGCTGCAAATTCCCATCGAAATGAGATACCAGGCTGCCTCCTCTTTTCCCCAGCCCAATCCCCTCTGATTTGGGTCCCGGTTGCCCCTGCTTAGCAAGCACTTCCAACCTGGCTTGGAGATCCCTGCAGGCGGCAGCCGCTTCCTCTTCCCTTTTCCTGGATGCGAGTACCTCCGCGTTGAGTTGTGTCACTGCATTTTGCAGGGCTGCTAGTTGCTGTTCTGTAGTCATCTTGCCTGACTTTTGTGAGCTCGCAAAGCACCAATCTTCTTCCCTCGCTGCGTCCACTCACGTTACGAGGTTTTTGGTGCAAAACTTTAAGAGATGGAGCTTACTGTCAGAGCTGGCTCCAGGTCCCAGCTCACAGAGGACCAACGCTAGCCGGCAGTAATGTGCAAAAGTCTTTATTGAAGTACAGTTTCCATTTTCAAGCCGGAGCGCCCCAGCTCTACGTCTAGGGGTTAGATCGGCGAAGCTCCATCTGAGTCTCCGCCCCCTGTACACCAGTTTAAGATTCTAGCCTTACTCCACCTCTTACGTCTCTCCTTTCTCCTCTGGGTCCTGCTACCCCCCGGGGTCCCTTCCTTCCTGGATTCTTCTGGCGCTGACCCTCCTGACTCCTCCCCCTCTTTTCGGCGGGCTTTGGGACCTGGCTCCCTATCCGGGCTGCCAACTGCGCCGCCCTCCTGTACATTTGAACTTGGCGCGCGCGCCCAGCCTTCAACCTTCCTCTCGACCGTTTCCTCGCTCCCCGATGGAGGCGTGGCCAATCCTGACTCATGTCCTCCCACTGGCAGTGCGCCGCCTGATCCCGATGCCTGGGACTCCTCCCCCCTACTGCACTCTGGTGTGGACGCTGGTCCTGATTTCCAACTGCTGCTCTCTGAGTCCCCTCTGGCCCCTTCTTCCTGGGGTGTCCCCCTCGGCAACCCCCTTGCTCTGACCAAGGGAGCCCCTTTCTGTGAATCTTCCGATTCGCTGGAAAGACTCAGAGACCTCGGACCGCTGTCATCGCTAACATTTCCTTCGGACTCCTCCCCCTCGCTCTCTATTTCCTCCCTTTCCTGTGCCTCTGCTCCTGAACCCCTGACAATACCCATAAAAGCCTTTTTTGTTGCTTTTAACCTCTCTAGCAAGCCTGAGTTCATTCTGTGCTTTAGCTTTTCTGACTTTGTGTCTACACGTGCTAGCTATTTGTTTGAATTCCTCTTCGGTGGTTTCCCCCCTTTCCCATTTTTTGTACACATCCTTTTTTAATCTTAACTCAGTTAAAAGTTCTTTAGATAGCCACCCTGGCTTCTTTAGGCACCTTCCATGTTTCCGTCTCATTGGTATTGCCTGACGTTGTGCTTTTAGTATCTCCCTCTTAACAAACTCCCAGCCATCATGAACTCCCTTTCCTTTTAGTATTACTGTCCATGGGATCTCACCCAGCACTTCCCTAAGTTTTATGAAATCGGCTTTCTTAAAGTCAAGAAATTGAGCCCTAGTATGCTTGGCTGCTCCTTTCCGCTGTATAGTAAACTTCAGAAGAGCATGATCACTCGCGCCTAATGATCCTTCCACTTCTACCCCACTAACCTGGTCATCAACATTGGTTAGGACCAGATCTAAAATGGCTGTTCCTCTTGTTGCTTCTCCCACTTTCTGGACAATGAAGTTGTCTGCAAGGCCAGTGAGGAATCTGTTTGACCTTATGCTCTTGGCTGAGTTTGACATCCAACAAATATCCGGGTAATTGAAGTCCCCCATTACTACTATCTCCCTTCCTTTTGCATGCTTGGCCATCTGTTCCAGGAAGGCATCATCTATGTCCTCCGTTTGGCTTGGGGATCTATAGTAAACTCCCACAATGAGGTCACTGTTATTCTTCGCTCCTTAATTTTGACCCAAATGCTCTCACTTTGGCTTTGAGGTTCTAAATCTTGGATCTCTTCACAGGTATACACATCCCTGACATAGAACGCCACTCCTCCTCCTTTCTTGTCTGGTCTGTTTCTCTGAAATAGATTGTATCCCCCCATTATTACATTCCAATCGTGGGACTTATCCCACTAGGTTTCAGTGATACTCCCCACCTTCTGGGACAAAATAGGGATTATCATTCATTGTGTGGCTCCTACTACTAACAGGGGACATTGGTGCTATCTCAAAATAGACTAGTTCTATCAAGCTACCCAAAGATTTGAGAATTTTGTCACAAGAGGAGCGTAAAGCTCACCTCTGGAGTTTTTGGAGGATATACATGTCTGGTGTTCTTAATATTTAGGACATGTGGAAGATCTATGCTTTGATTGCTTCCGTGCCAGGGTGGGGGCCACATTTTGGGACTGGAGACTTGCGAAGATGGTGTATAAGCACAGACAATATCTAAGGAGGAGGGGTGTATTAGTTTCCTGATATTTCTAAAATGTGGCATCACCGGCTCCTCTGCTTGCACATACAGATTGGGTCCCCATGCAACTCCTGACAGGCGGATACGGCCACAACATCTGTCTGGCTTGTGATGAGAGAGCTCAGAGATTGTGAACAGGGCTCTCCATACAAAGCACCTAGCATGGGGGCACCTACATGTAATATCTACTCTGCTCTTTTCTGCCCATGCTCTGGGGTTGCAGTTTTCAACACTTGGGGACAGGACGGTGACTGGTTTTTGTACCAAGTTCTGTCAGTTATCCCCACTGAGTCCAATGGGATCTATTCTTAGGCCACTACTGTGCAGACCATGCCAGGCTTGCAAGTGGGGTGAGGAGCATACAGAAGAAATTGGAATCACTGGAGATGTTTAGAAATGGGGCTTCTCTTGGGAAGGGGCTGCCCCATTTGTGCTTCTTCAGGGGCAGGAGATTATCTAGGGCAAGAAAATCCCTGCAGGGCCTCTGAGGCTCCCTTTGCTTCTTCCTCTCTCCCAGGACCCTGCAGCTTGTTGTGGCTTCTCGACTCCTCAGGAAGGATGAAAGAGACGGATCCTGCAAAGCTCGTAAGGATGGAAGGCGGAAGATGGATGGTTGACCTGGTCAGGTTGTCTCCTGCATCCCTTCGAACAACCTCTGAGCGTTCCCTCCCAGGGACCTCCGAGAGATCTGGTGAGTTCCAGGGGAGTGGAGATGGAGACATGGATGGATGGAGCCGGAGAGGTATTGGCGCTTGCTCGGGGGGGCACCATTTCAGGCTCCTCCACCTGCCTGCCTGCGCCTTTGTCATCTGCAGGCAATTTGAGCTAGGAATACATCACAGCTCCCCGACCACCGCAATGTATTGGCAGCTCAAAATGTCTATAACCAGCACCATGATTGAATGCTCTACCAATGTCAGACAACTTACCGATCCTTCAGGCAGCACTAGAAGCCATGACTCTTGAAAGTAACCTGATCCTGGGCTTCCAATTTGTCTGCGAAGGGAAATGGCGAGGCGGTGTGAGTCGTCTGTCTAAAAGACAACCCTTACCGGGGCTTTTGAGCAGTGGGGGTGAGTGCCAGGGTTAGACACTCCCCCAAAAAGCTCCAAGGGTAGTGGGGTGTCGAGGGGACCAGCCGGGCATGAAGAGGCTTGCCGCGATTGCTGGAGCCCCAACGCTGCATTGGCAGTGAGTGGAGGGTGTGTGTATGTGTGAGACAGCGGCTTGAGCCTGCCCGTGGCTCCAGCACAGGTCAGAAACCTGAAACCACAAATCGCCACCTGAAGCAGCAGACTTTCAAAGGAAAAAAGGTATTGTCAATTATTATGGGCTTTTCAAAATAAAAAGGATTGGATTTAATTTAGATTTGGCAAAGACGGAATCTAAACAGGAAGTCAACTTCCGTCTTTTGAAGGGAAGATTTTGCGGTACAGACTTGTGTATGGGAAAAAAACTTTGGAGACACATCAGTCTTTAGATACTTTTAAAACTGTACTTTGTTACTTTGCTACCTATTAACACTATGTACTCTAGATACAAGAAGAAACTGTAGCTCTTTGTTCTTTGATTCCTTAAAAGGAAGATACAGGAAGCGATTGGAGTACTCTCAGTTTTTTTTGAATGGGGATGCAGATTTTATGAATGAAAGCACTGAAAGGCTTGAAAACATTGCAAATTCTTTTTTAAAAAACCTCTAAAAAGGACCCTGGATCTTGGCAAGTCCTACCAAAGCTTGGCAGGAGGACACTTTTCCATAACTGGGAGGTAATCCCAGGGAGGGGAAGTCCCTGGTAAGAGCCTTAGTAGGAGAAAGCGGGGACGGGGGGCCTGTATTGGAATAAAAATTGAGTCAAATAGCATATATACCGTAGATTCCAGCGTATTAGGCGACTGGGCTTACTAGACGACCCGCCAAATTGGCAGCTGCAATTTGGGGGTTCGTCTTATAAGCACAGTTGTCTAACACGCTGGGCAGCAACAGGGGGCGGGCTCAGCTCCGCGCCGGGAGAAAGCCGCCCAGCAAGGAGCTCAGCCTCCTGCTCACTGCTGCTGCTTCAGATGCAGCAACAGGGGCACGCTCAGCTCCACACCGGGGGAAAGCCGTCCGCTCTGCTCCGCGCCACCCATACCTGGCGTATAAGGCGACCCCTGACTTGTGGAGATTTTCCGGGGTTCAAATGTCGCCTTATTTACTGGAATCTACAGTATATTGGATTACGATTACCATTTGGATTACAAATCTACTTTGAATTATAAATACGTCTGGGGAAATTTTGGACTCACAGTGGAAATATTTTGGATTACAAGACACATTGTGGATTATAATATAACTAGAAGCTTGGCAAGTGCTAATCATCATCAAGGAGACAATGTAACAGTGAGTTTGAACAATGGTAACTATTAGACTTTTGTTGTGGCCTGCTTTTTTATTCTTTTTTTTTGTAGGTGGTATATAAAGTTGATATTGCCCACTTTTCTCTCTCTCTTTTGGATATTGTGGAACTTTTATAATTCTGTAAGTTTGAAAGTGTTGTTACAGTTTGGTTTAAAAGGGTGTGGGAATTGGATTGATGGGAGAACAGTTGTATACAAGGCAAGAGTGAGAAAAAGACAGGAGGGCTGAAGGAAGTATCAAACCTGACATCAATTCTAAGAGGAGCAGGAATAAATTATAAATGGGAATTCCTGGAGGGAGTTTCCTTTACTTATAGGAGAAAGAGATTCAGATTAATGCTAGAGAGTCAGGTACAGGAATTTCTGGATAAACATGGCAAAGACCCAGAGTTTCAAAGCTCAGGGAGAGACTTCAGAACCCCCTTTGAGATGCAAAGAGATGAACTGGAAAAGACTGAAAGAACAGGGCAAAAAAGCAAATCTTTTTTAAATGAATCAGATCATGGCAAATCTTAAATTACTAACCTGGCATGTCAATGGCCTTAACAATAATATTAAAAGGAACAGGGTGTGGCATGAAGTTTTAAAACGGAATTTGGATATAATTTGCCTACAGGAGACTCATGTTGCAAGAAAGCATGAGGAAATCTTGAGTAATAAGAATTAGGGAGCCAATTTATTGCATCAGATGTTTCCAAAAAACGTCGAATTGTTTTGCACATAAAACCTGCACTTGAACCACAATTAATTCAAAAGGATGAGAAAGGGAGAAAATTAATGGTACAAATTAAAGTTGAGGGAGAAAAAAAATTTGGTAGGGATATATACACCAAATGAAAATAAATTAAAAAAATTCAAGATTTAGAAACAGAATTGCTAGAATTTGCAGATGAGAAAATAATAGTGCTGGGAGATCTTAATGGCGTCCCATCACTAGAGAAAGACAGAACGATAGGAAGAAAGACACGAAAGAAGGTAGACTTCCCAAAACTTTTTTTGAAATGACAGAAAATGTAAAATTGATAGATATTTGGAGAATTAAGCATCCATTTGAAAAACAGTTCACTTTTTTCTCTCATGTTTATGGAAGCAGTGCCCGACTGGATGCGGTTTGGGTCTCTAAGGAATTAGAGTCAAGAATCAAAAAATTGAAATAGATCCAAGAACAATGTCAGACCATGATTCTATAGTCATGGAAATACAGAAAGACTTTCGGTGGAGACTGAATGAAGAAATATTGGATGATAAAATCTTTCTGGAAAGGACAGAAAAGACAATAAGTGAATATTTTGAACAAAATTTGAATAATGAGACCAAACTCCAAACAGTCTGGGACACAAGCAAAGCGGTAATGAGAGGCCTATTCATTCAAGAAAATTAAGGTAAAAGAGAAGAAAAACAAAGAGATTTTACATAAAATAGAAGAAAAAGAAAAAGAATTAATAAAAACATTAAATAAAGAAATAGTAAAGCAGGAAATAAAATTATTACAATCACAATATTCAATGGTAATCAATGAGGAAATAGCATGGAAAATAAAAAACAAAAAGTCCAGTCGTGAACGACTCTAGGGTTGCTTTATTGGCCAAGAGAGCCGACGTTTGTCCGCAGACAGTTTTTCCAGGTCATGTGGCCAGCATGACTAGGCTGCTTCTGGCAAAACCAGAGCAGTGCACGGAAACGCCATTTATCTTCCTGCCATTTATCTACTTGCACTTTGACGTGCTTTTGAACTGCTAGGTTGGCAGGAGCTGGGACCGAGCAATGGGAGCTCACCCCGTCGTGGGGATTCGAACCACTGACCTTTCGATCGGCAAGCCCTAGGCTCATTGGTTTAGACCACAGTGCCACCTGTGTCCTGATAGGTCCTTGTAAAACCTTTAGGAAAAAATCTAGCAGAGAGTCTGTGGGTTTTGATAAACAAGAAATGGCAATTGGTGTTAGACTAGTTGATAGACTAGTTCTATCAAGCTACCCTAAGCCTTTGGGAATCTTGTCACAAGAGGAGCATAAAGCTCACATCTGGAGTTTTTGGAGAGTATACATGCCTGGTGTTCTTAAGAACACTACAGATTTAGAACATGTGGAAGATCTATACTTGGATGGCTTCCATGCCAGGGTGGGGGCCACATTTTGAGACTGGAGACTTGCGAAGATGGTGTATAAGCACAGACGATATCATAGGAGGAGGGGTGTATTAGTTTCCTGATATTTCAAAAATGTAGCATCACTAGCTCCTCTGCTTCCACATACAGATTTGGTCCCCTTGCAACCCCTGACAGAGGCCAATGTTAGATTTCTGTTTATGCCACTGTGCAGTTTCTGGAGTCACAAGTCTCTGTTTATATTCCAGACTGTTGGAAGTCTCACGGGAGATGGATGTTGATGTTTCTGGTTTCCTGTTTCTTTGTCCCAGTTGGTTCTGTGCTCTCACAGCGAGAGGATGTATATTCTTTTTTGTCTGTGTAGTTAGAAATAAAACGTAGCAATGTAGCTCATATATTTCTCGTCCTTCTGCTGCTGTTTGTACACTCTGAGCACTGGGAACGTGCCTGGAGCCTCATCAAAGGCTTAGGTCGTTAATCACGTCGGAGGAGGAGATTCCAAAAACTCGAGCTGGAAGAGTAACTCAGTCAAACGGAATTCCAACAGCAGACACAGCCACAACATCTGCCTGGCTTGTGATGAGAGAGCTCAAAGATTGTGAACAGGGTTCTCCATACAAAGCACCTAGCATGGGGGCACCTGCATGTAATATCTACTCTGCTCTTTTCTGCCCATGCTCTGGGGTTGCAGTTTTCAGGCTTGGAGACAGGACGGTGACTGGTTTTTGTACCAAGTTCTGTCAATTATCCCCAATGCGTTCAATGGGATCTACTCTGAGGTCACTACTGTGTAGACCATGCCAAGCTTACAAGTGGGGTGAGGAGCATACAGAAGAAATTGGAATCACTGGAGATGTTTAGAAATGGGGCTTCTCTTGGGAAGGGGCTGCCCCATTTGTGCTTCTTCAGGGGCAGGAGATTATCTAGGGCAAGAGAATCCCTGCAGGACCTATGAGGCTCCCTTTGCTTCTTCCTGTCTCCCAGGCCCCTGAAGCTTGTTTTTGCTTTTTGATTGCTCAGGAAGGATGAAAGAGACGGATCCTGCAAAGCTCATAAGGATGGAAGGGGGAAGATGGATGGTTGACCTGGTCAGGTTGTCTCCTGCATCCCTTCGGACAACCTCTGAGTGTTCCCTCCCAGGGACCTCCGAGAGATCTGGCGAGTTCCAGGGGAGTGGAGATGGGGACATGGATGGAACCGGAGAGGTATTGGGGCTTGCTCAGGGGGCACCATTTCGGGCTCTTCCACCTGCCTGTCTGCACCTTTTACATCTGCAGGCAATTTGAGCTAGGAATACATCACAGCTCCCCGACCACCATGATGTATCGGCAGCTCAAAATGTCTATAACCTGTACCGTGATTGAATGCCCTACCAACGTCAGACAACTTACCAATCCTTCAGGCAGCACTAGAAGTCATGACTCTTGAAAGTAACCTGATTCTGGGCTTCCGATTTGTCTGCGAAGGGAAATGGCGAGGCAGTGCGAGTCGTCCGTCTAAAAGACGACTGTTACCGGGGCTTTTGAGCAGTGGGGGTGAGTGCCAGGGTTAGACACCCCCCAAAAAAGCCCCAAGGGTAGTGGGGTGTCGGGACCTGCCGGGTGTGAAGAGGCTTGCTGTGATTGCCAGAGCCCTGACGCTGTATTGGCAGGTCAGCAACCACACTACCTGGGGTGTACGAGGCATCCATATCTTTCTGGTATAATTCCTCTGTGTATTCTTGCCACCTCTTCTTCATGTCTTCTGCTTCTGTTAGGTCCTTACCACTTTTGTCTTTTATTATGGTAATCTTTGTACGAAATGTTCCTTTCATATCTCCAATTTTCTTGAACAGACCTCTGGTTTTTCCCATTCTATTGTTTTCCTCTATTTCTTTGCATTGCTCGTTTAAGAAGGCCTTCTTGTCTCTCCTTGCTATTTTTTTGAAATCTGCATTCAATTTCCTGTATTTTTCACTATCTCCCTCGCATTTTGCTTGCCTTCTCTCCCCCGCTATTTGTAAGACCTTGTTGGGCAACCACTTTGCTTTCTTGCATTTCCTTTTCATTGGGATGGTTTTTGTTGCTGCCTCCTGTATAATGTTACGAGCCTCCATCCATAGTTCTTCAGGCACTCTGTCCACCAAATCTAAATCCTTAAACCTGTTCCTCACTTCCACTGTGTATTCATAAGGATTTGATTTAGATTGTATCTTACCGGCCCAGTGGTTTTCCTACTTTCTTAAGTTTAAGCTTGAATTTTGCTATAAGAAGCTGATGATCTGAGCCGCAGTCAGCTCCAGGTCTTGTTTTTGCTGACTGTATAGAGCTTCTCCATCTTTGGCTGCAGAGAATATAATCAATCTGATTTCGATGCTGCTCATCTGGTGATGTCGATGTGTAGAGTCATCTCTTGTGTTGTTGGAAAAAGCGTTTGTGATGACGAGCTTGTTCTCTTGGCAGAACTCTATTAGCCTTTGCCCTGCTTTGTTTGGAACTCTAAGGACAAACTTGCCAGTTGTTCCTTTTATCTCTTGATTCCCTACTTTAGCATTCCAATCCCCTATAATGAGAAGAACATCCTTCTTTGGTGTCATTTCTATAAGGTGTTGTAAGTCTTCATAGAATTGGTCAATTTCAGTTTCTTCAGCACCAGTGGTTGGTGCATAAACCTGGATTACTATGATGTTAAAAGGTCTGCCTTAGATTTGTATCGAGATCATTCTATCATTTTTGAGATTGCATCTCAGTACAGCTTTCGCCACTCTTTTATTGACCATTTCTTTTACGGGATTCTTGCCCACAGTAGTAGATATGATGGTCATCCGAACTGAATTCGCCCATTCCTGTCCATTTTTGTTCACTGATGCCCAGGATGTCAATATTTATTCTTGCCATCTCATTTTTGACCACATCCAACTTACCAAGGTTCACGGTTCTTACATTCCAGGTTCCTATGCAATATTTTTCTTTACAGCACTGGACTTTCCTTTCGCTTCCAGGCATATCCGCAACTGAGCGACCTTTCGGCTTTGGCCCAGCCGCTTCATCAGCTCTGAATATACTTGTACTTGTCCTCCGCTCTTCCTCAGTAGCATGTTGGACGCCTTCCGACCTAAGGGGCTCATCTTCCAGCGTCATAACTTTTATATGCCTGTTGTCTTTCTCCATGGAGTTTTCTTGGCAGGGATACTCGAGTGGCTTGCCGGTTCCTGCTCCAGGTGGATCACGTTTCGTCAAAACTCTCCACTATGACCTGTCCATCTTGGGTGGCCCTGCACGGCATAGCTCATAGCTTCTCTGAGTTATTCAAGCCCCTTCGCCACGGCAAGACAGTGATCCATGAAGGGGGGAATAACTTTTTATTTGCTTTTAAAAACAAGGATCATAGGACTAATATACAAATATGTAGACCAAGTATCTATAGCATATGGTTCACCATTAGTGGTCAGTGTATGAGTTCTGGGTTCCTGAATCGGTTTAAATTGATAGAAAAATAGGGAAACAGGAGAGAACAAAGAACATTCAATATGGCATAGCCGAATGCCTAGTTAGGAGCTCTTGCGGCAGTTGTGTTTAGATCAAGTGTGAGTTAGTCACTTTTCATCTTTTGTCACCAATGAAACAATACAGAGTTAGTCTACTCTTGAAAATGGGAGTGGGGTTCAAACTGAAGAAAGTGATATAAATTAAAATTTAGACCAAATTTAGATTTAGGCAACAGCTGGTGGGGAGTGTGCTGGTGAAGATGTTGCTGTTTGTTTCACAGACAATTTGCTGGATCTTGACCAGAGAGCTCTGCATAAGGAAGTCAAGGAGGAGAATCGTGGGGTCATGGACCCTCTTGGTAACGCTTCCTGTTGGATCATAATATCTGTTCTGAAATTAAGCAAGTAACTTCGAAAGTCCATACATACCTCTATGTGATGAACCTTCACTATTTAGATGGAGACCAACAGCATTCGGGATTCTAACATCCCCACCCATGAACCCTGAATGGAGGGATATCCACTGTTTTCTCTGCAATTTTTTTCCTTCTAGTCATGCCTTTTAAAGCAATGACCAGGTTGTCTGAACTGCCCAGGCCTTCTTAAATGTCAGCCTCAGAGCTTTAAGGGAAATTGGAGATGGAGTGGATTCCAGGATTGAGCCAACCAAAATCTATCCCAGATAAAAACCAAGCAATATGTCAGTTAATACCAGCCAACAGTGAAAACTATAGTAAGGGCTCTCTTCAGTTCCTCCTCTATCACAAGCATTCATTAACTTTGTTCTTCCTGAGGCTCTAATTAGCTTCTCTCTTCATTGCAGGTGGTGATGAATTGGAAGGGAAGAACAAGGGGGACCACAACAGAATTCACATAGCAGAGAAGTCAGATAAATATACAAAGTGCGGAGAGAACATCTGCCAGAGCCCCCAGTCCACCTCACATCAAGGAAAGAGCTTTGTTCGGAGGGATAGAATCTCTTCACATGAAAGAACTAACAGCGGAGAGAAATTGTATCAGTGCAGAGAATGTGGGAAGAGCTTCAGTCACCGTCAGAATCTCACTTGCCATCAAAGAATTCATACAGGGGAGAAACCCTATCAGTGCTTGGAATGTGGAAATAACTTCAGTCGGAAGGAACATCTCACTTCCCATCAAAGAATTCATACAGGGCAGAAACCCTATGAGTGTTTAAAGTGTGGAAAGAGCTTCAATCGGAAAGATGGTCTCACTTCCCATCAAAGAATTCATACAGGGGAGAAACCCTTTCAATGCCTTGAGTGTGGAAAGAGCTTTCGTCACAGTTCCGGTCTCACTTCCCATCAAAGAATTCATACAGGGGAGAAACCTTTTCAATGCCTTGAGTGTGGAAAGAGCTTCAGTCAAAGTTCCAATCTAACTATGCATCATAGAGTTCATACACGGGAGAAACCCTATCAGTGCTTGAAATGTGGGAAGAGCTTCAGTCACAGAAAGAGTCTTACTTGCCATCAAAGAATTCATACAGGGGAGAAACCCTATCAGTGCTTGGAATGTGGGAAGAGCTTTCGTCACAGTTCCGGTCTCACTTCCCATCAAAGAGTCCATACAGGGGAGAAACCCTATCAGTGCTTGGAATGTGGAAAGCGCTTCAGTCAGAGGGTGCAGCTCACTTCCCATTACAGAATTCATACAGGGGAGAAACCCTATCAGTGCTTGGAATGTGGGAAGAGCTTTCGTCAGAGAGGTGATCTCACTTCCCATCAAAGAGTCCATACAGGCGAGAAACCATATCAGTGCTTGGAATGTGGACAGAGCTTCAGCCAGGGGATGCATCTCACTTCCCATCAAAGAATTCATACAGGGGAGAAACCCTATCAGTGCTTGGAATGTGGGAAGAGCTTTCGTCACAGTTCCGGTCTCATAATAAGTGCTATTATAATAATACAAAGTAGTATTTCTCCAGTTTCTAGGTCCAGTTTTTATAAAGCCTTATTAAAACTGTTCCAACAAATCTCCGTCAAGTCACAGTCCAAGAGTATGGTCCTTTTAATGTTCATCCAATCCTGCTTCCTCTTCTTTTACTAATCTTCTTTCCTAATCCACTGGGGATGGGGAAGAATGCATATTAAATCCCTTTCCTCATACGAAATCATAGCTTGTGGTGTGAACAGTTTCAGGAGTTGCACTGCATCCCCTTTTGCTGGATGTACCTTTTTCTCTGCCGATAATTCCCACACCAGCTCATCCCAACCCAGCGTTGTCTTTCTATGGAGCTCTTTCTCTCTCCTCCTGTTCTTCCCTCACCTGCTCAACAGAACCTTCTGCCACTCCCAGCGACTCCTTTCCAACGACTCCCAGCTTATGACCCACACATTCACCTCAGTCTCTCTTTCTGGGACCAATCTTGGTCTTCAATGCCAAGGCGCTCCATGTCTGGATGGGGAGCAGAGCTGCAGAAGCTTGTTTGGAGTGGATGCATCTGGTTCTCCATAAATCAGGCAGAGGCAAATTTCATTGGCAAAAGAAGAACTTTCTACTAAAGGTTTTTTAGCTTCGTTACATAAAAAAGCTTCAGGGGACTTAGCAGATGTGAAAGTTAGAAAATGAAAGTAAGAAAGAGAAACCAGCCCACTGAGCTCACAGATTTATCTTTCTGGCTCGGTGTGACCTTGAGATAACAAAACACAAATCATAATAAATCCAGCTGCCTCAGCAGAAAAGAACAAAACCTTCTGGAAGGAACCAGTGTTTTCCAGTATTTTTGGGTTCCGCCCTCAGGATTTTATCTGTGACATTTTGTCCCACTGCCAGAAAAGCATCTTTAGCTCCCTAGTTCCTGTGGCAACACTTTGGCCCAAGTTTCAAACTTGTTAAATTTGCACGGTGGTTAGCTTGTTGCAGGCTTGTTAAGCCTCTTTGGATATAGGATTTCGGGTAAGATCCCTTCTACTCCCTCATAAAAAGACACGACACAATCTTGTTAAAGTCAATATAAAAGTAGTTTACTCACTCATTCAGTTCACAGATGCATCCCTGAAGGCAGACTTAGGTTACAAAAGTGTATAACTATATGAAGTATCCCATAAGGGAGTTAGTTCCAAGTAACCGCAACTGAGCTGTCACTTCTCCCAACATATAGAAAGACAAAATGGAGAAAAAGATCATAACATGGAGGACGTGTGCTCCTCTACCCAGAATAGGCCACACCTACTTCAAGTCACATGTAGTAGAAGTCTGTCCCAGCTCAGGAGGAAACAGGAAGTTTTCTCCTGAGTAGTAGAAAACATCACCAAACATGTCCACTGTAGAAATGTTGTACTTGACTGCTATAAGTTTCACATCCCACAGGAAGGGAGCCTGGGTGTCATCTGGTCCTGCCCCCTGCAAGTCAGGAATCTCAGGAATCCTTTCAAGAAGAGTGACTAGTGGGGTGCCACAGGGTTCTGTCTTGGGCCTGGTCTTATTCAACATCTTTATCAACGACTTGGATGATGGACTCAAGGGCATCCTGATCAAATTTGCAGATGACACCAAACTGGGAGGGGTGGCTAACACCCCAGAGGACAGGATCACACTTCAAAACGACCTTGACAGATTAGAGAACTGGGCCAAAACAAACAAGATGAACTTTAACAGGGAGAAATGTAAAGTATTGCACTGGGGAAGAAATGAGAGGCACAAATACAAGATGGGTGACACCTGGCTTGAGAGCAGTACTTGTTTAAAGGATCTAGGAGTCTTGGTTGACCACAAACTTGACATGAGCCAACAGTGTGACGCGGCAGCTAAAAAAGCCAATGCAATTCTGGGCCTCATCAATAGGAGTATAGCATCTAGATCAAGGGAAGTAATAGTGCCACTGTATTCTGCTCTGGTCAGACCTCACCTGGAGTACTGTGTCCAGTTCTGGGCACCACAGTTCAAGAAGGACACTGACAAACTGGAACGTGTCCAGAGGAGGGCAACCAAAATGGTCAAAGGCCTGGAAACGATGCCTTATGAGGAACGGCTAAGGGAGCTGGGCATGTTTAGCCTGGAGAAGAGGAGGTTAAGGGGTGATATGATAGCCATGTTCAAATATAGAAAAGGATGTCACATAGAGGAGGGAGAAAGGTTGTTTTCTGCTGCTCCAGAGAAGCGGACACGGAGCAATGGATCCAAACTACAAGAAAGAAGATTCCACCTAAACATTAGGAAGAACTTCCTGACAGTAAGAGCTGTTTGACAGTGGAATTTGCTGCCAAGGAGTGTGGTGGAGTCTCCTTCTCTGGAGGTCTTTAAGCAGAGGCTTGACAACCATATGTCAGGAGTGCTCTGATGGTGTTTCCTGCTTGGCAGGGGGTTGGACTCGATGGCCCTTGTGGTCTCTTCCAACTCTATGATTCTATGATTCTATAACATGTATACGTTGTAGAAAATAACAATTTCATAAAACTGCATTTGGATGATTCCGATTTCTTTTAAGCCTATGGCCTCACTTAATTGAAAAGGCCTGTGTCTGTCTGCCTGTCTGCCTGCCTACCTTTGACGGAACAGAACAAGCTGCTTTTAGGTGCTGTATGTAGCAAATGTCTGTTCCAGAACCCTGAAAAGAATAAAGCGGGAGTTGTATGCATGAAAAGAGAATCAGCCAGGCATGGCAATTGTGATTCATCTTGAACTGTTTTGTAGATGGATGAAAGAGGACGTTGGAAGACATTTAGTGAATAGGAATATTAGCCAAAGTCTTAAAAAAGAAAGACACAAAAAAATTGTTATATGTCATCACATGATATGATGAGGGCTTATCTGAAGAGCCAAATGATTATGTTTGGTTCAGGATGATGAACTAACCAAGTTGCATTGGGCTGCAGCTATTAAGATTGCTGCGATCCTTGAAGATGATGGGTTTTTCGGAGCTAGCCGACCTAACCGGAAGAGTCCGCAACCAGAAGGAGGAGTAGTATCAGGAAGAATGAACTAAATTTAATGATTATTTAGTTAAATATGTCAAGTTAGATGAATTGGAAACAGCTTGCAGATACTTAATTGGCTTAGGATTTAATATAAATTAAGTGATGAATTAATAGGTGTAATTTCAAAATGAAAAGATCTAAGGATGTTAATGTTCAAGTTAAACTTTATACAAACTGTGATTTGCAAAACCATTAAAAGGATATGCATTGCTCCTAGAATGGGAGGTAAAGGAGGAGCAAGTGAAGACAGCAATGGTAAAGTAGGCCCAGGATTTAGGGAAAATATGATGAGCCAATGGGAACGGCTGTGAGACAGGGATATTAAATTTACGGCTTGCTACAATTAAAGAGAGAATGTAATGAAAATGCAATACAGATGGTATCTGACCCCGTTAGACTGGCAAAAATGTATAAAAACTGTAGTGATGTTTGTTGGAGATACAACAACGGGCGGGAACCTGTCTACACATGTGGTGGGAGTGCAAAGAGATAGTGGGATTCTGGGAAAATATTTACAACAAGTTGAAAAAGTGAATTTCTTTAAGGAATACATCAAAAGCTATGTGGAAAAAGTCGAACTTTTGACAGATATTGAGTAAATCCAGAACATGATTAGAGTGAAAGGAGAGTAAAGTTAAGATAGAAGAAGAGATTAAAGAAATAATGAAATGTGTTTAAGGCAATTGAAAAAAGAAAGCAGTGTAACAAGAACGGCTGGAAATGAAGTCACTTTGTGGCTGTTCATGTGGGGTAGGTGTGTTGGTATGTATAGTATAGGTAAGCCTAATACAGAGTAATGTAGGAATGCTTTATGTTAGGAAAATAAGGTATTGTGCATACGTACTATGTAAATGTATGTGTTCTATATGTTAATAACATATTTTAATTAAAAAAAAGGAATGATGTTCAATTTGGAAGTTTATTTTAAAAAGCATTTTATCGGATGTGGTTCTTTGCAGGAACATTTGTATTTCAATAAAGGCCTATCTTTCTACTTGGAGATTTCCTCCTTTTCTTTTGGGTTTCTGTGTGGATAACCTCCAGTCTGGGAACCTCTTTTTGAATTTCTACATGACAGGATTTTTTTTTTAAAAAAATTGAAAGTGATTTATATTGAGATTGAATATCATTATTGGTAGAAACAATTTCAAACATTCAAAAAATGAATCAGCAATACATTTTAAAACATAAGTTTTTCTTAGTGTTTACAGTTCTGTTTACAGATGGTTGGGGCGGGGGGAGGGCACAACATGCCGAAGCAGAGCCCATCTTTTTCAAGGGATCCTTAGTAAACCTGGAAATGTCTGCGTGTGATCCCATCTCAACAGCTGACATAAACACCATGGAGAAGGAGGCTGGAGCCTGAAAGGCAAAGGCATTGCCCTTGAAGGGAGACCTGGGACCCCCTCTCCTTCTAAAGGGACCTCTGAGGAGGAAGCCAGGGCCGCCAGGGTGGATCAATCCCTGGACCTTGGAGGCGATTCCTCGGCTCATCTGGAAAGTGCCATATCATGTTCCTTTCCCCATTTGTCAGGAGCCTAAATTTCATTTGGGGTTCCTCATTCCTCACCCCAAGATTCCTCCAAGGCTTTGGGGAAGGAAACTGAGGTAGGCTGAGCCATGGCTTTGGTTGCTCCCAATGGCCCTGCAGGGATTCAGGCTGGGGGCCTGTCTCTTCCTCTGGCCATGGCAGTTCCCAGGAAGCCTTTTCAGAAAGGCAGTAGACCCTCAGCACAAGTTCGGTTCTTCTCTGCAATGGCTTCCTCTTCTGAGCTGGACTGGGAGGACCCCAGTTCAGGCGGTTCCCCAGAGTCCCCCCACTGGGCTCCAGTGGCCCCCTGAGACCCACAGGGATCCAGAGGGGAGCGACTTCTGTTGAACTACTGCCTGAGGAAGAGGAACAGATGTCTTAGCCTGTTTGGGTGGCAAGCAAGGGCCATCCAGATCCTGGGATCCTGAGGGGCCAAGAAGGGGAGTATCCAGTCTTGTCTGGGGAAGCAAAGGAAACTGGTCCAGAGGTCAAACTCCCCTGAGGGAACCCTCCACTTCAGAGGGGATAAAAGCCCTAATTATTGTTATTCTCCTTTGGCCTCAGAGACAGAGAGGGCCTTGCCCTCCTCGCCCTCTTCGCCTGTCCTGGCGCAGAACCTGGCAGATCCCCCAAGGCCTCTTGCCTGGCATGTCCCAATGGAGAGGTCTCCTCTGTTGGGCCAATGTCATAAGAAAAAAACTGCTCCTTTTCCCTTATGGGGTATCTAAGAGCCCATAGAGTCCTTTTGTAGGTTCTCTTTCGGTAGGAGAAAATAACAGACCAACCAGAGAATTTTTTTAAAAATGTATTTTTATTAAAGATTTTCTTGATTTACAAAAGTATGTACAATGTCTCGTATTCCCCCCCCCCCATGTAACATTTTTACAAATCGGTTTCATTTATTGAGACATTAGGAATAAAAGGGAGAAAGAGGTGGGGTGGAGATGAGGGATTGGGTTGCAATGTTTCTATTTTACTTAATATATGTAGGGTTTGGTGTCAGCGTTGCTTGTGCAGGTTCTTTGCTGTTCACTTGTGTTTCTTTGGTGGTGAGAGATGTTGGGGTTGGCCTAGGGTGTGGTTGTTCATTTGTGGTTGGCTGTGGTAGACTTTGTTTTCGTGTGTGAGTGGGTTTTGGATCAGGTTAGCCATATTGATTTGTATACTGTTGGTGGATTTTTGTCATTGTCTTGTTGGGCTGTGTGTGTGATAAAGGGGAGCCATACTGGGGTGATGGCGTCTTCTTCTATTTGTCCCCGTGTCAGTTTCAGTTTATTGGTTAATTTTTCTAGTAAGGCTGTTTCCCATACTATTTGGTACCATTGGTCCATGCTTACTCCTGACAGGTCTCTCCAGTGTCTGGTTATGATGTTTCTGGCTGCTGAAAGTAGGTGGGTTATGAGTTCTTTGTGGTGTAAGTGGTCATTATTGTCTTGGAGTTTTTTGGATCCTGTTTGTAGTGTGATGTCTTATTCTATTTTGCTAATTTTTGAGGAGGTTTGTTTTTTAAGGAATGCTTTGTCTTTTATGCAAGCTCCTCTGGTGACTGCTTTCATTGCATCCCATAAGAGGGGGTTGTTATAGCGTCTACATCATTTTCCTTGAAGTAAAAACTAGTTTTTGTGAGACTCTCTCTAATTTGTTTCTTTGTAGTTAGGATGGGACTGAAGGACTATGATGGGGTGGTTTGTGTTCCCTCTCCTATTTTAACAGTGACGTCTACTGGGGTGTGATCTGTGATTTTAATGTTACCTATGTTTGTTGATTCCATTGAGGGGATCAGACCCTGCGTGAGCAGAATGCTGTCCAGACTGGACACTGTACCATGGCGTCCGGATTGGAATGCATGGCTGGTGTCTTCCGGGTTTTGCTCACTCCAAATGTCATAGAGACCCAATTTTTTAAACATTTTTAGTAATTTGTAAGAGTCCCTAGTTGTTGGGGGTTTCCTTCGGAAGAAGGTTGCCCATGGGGTTGTAAGGTGAATGTTTTTCAGGGATATGCCTTTCATATTTAGGTTGAGGTCACCTCCTAGGATTGCTTCCCCAGAGAAGGAGAGGAACTTGTTTAGTGTCTTCTGGAAGAATCCTAGTTGTTTTGAGTTTGGGGCATATATGGAGCCGATTGTCAGTTTAATTTTGCCATCTAGTGTCCCTTTAGCAAAAATGAATCTGCCTCTTTTGTCCTTTAGGACTGTGTGGCGTTGAAGTTCCGGTCTCTACTGAGTATTATAGCTACTCTGCAGGCCTTCCCTGAGTCAGGTGCAACCCATTGTTGACTGAAGCGAGGGTCCTTCAGGAGTTTGCTCCTTTTGGGTGGGTTGTGTATTTCTTGTAGGAAGGTGATGTGTGGTTTCATGGTATTTATGTATGAAGTGATGCATTTTCTTTTGATGGGGTTTCCCAACCCCATCACATTTAATGTAATTGCTTTTACGTTAGCCATCTTGCTTATCTATTATGTGGGGCGATTCCCTGCCAGCCCATCCGGGTTGTCCTGTGTCTCTCACTTCATGTTGTTTAACGAACCAATGGGGTTGCACTGACCTAGAGTGTAGTGGGTGGGGGACTAGTGGGATTAGAGTTACATTTGGATTAAAGAGTAGGGGGTAGGTTGTAGAGAATTTCCTATATGTAGTCATATAGGTGTTTGTTTGGGGTATTTTGGGCCATCTGGCATTTAGCCAGTTGGTCCTAGGTCTCAGCTAGTGTGGAAGGCCATGTTCAGGGACAGGCCATCCCCCCGTCATTTGCAATAGGGGGTGGTCAGCAAGATGGTGTGAAGCATCTTTGTGATGCCAATGTTGGGTATAGGGTTCATAAGCAATGTTGCCAATGTTATTAGCAACGTTGTTGGTATGTTGGGGTGGGGATGTGGGTGTTGGTACGCTCTGGCGCCACCATTGTGCTGGTTGGGTATCAGATTTTAGCCTGTTTGTGGGTTGTGTTGTTAAGGTTGGAGTTGTTTTTCCTTAGTATGGGGTAGGGGGATGCTGAAGGTGTAGGTTATGGGTTGTTGGGTGATGGGCAATGTGGTTTGAGGTCATCTGGACTGGTGCTGGGGTGGGGATTTCTGTGGAGGTGGGCTGCTGGGGGATGTTGATGGTGTTAACTATGGTCGGGGAAGAGGAGAGAGGAGGGGAAAGGAGGGGGGAGAATCACCAGTCCTTCAGTTTGTGTTTTTCCCCGGTTGCTTCATTCAGCTGGGGTTGTTGTAAGGTTGTCCATCTGTGATGAATTGGTTTGGTTAATCTTAGTCTGGTTTCTTGTGTCCTAAGGCTGGCGGGATGATTCTGTGTGTGGTGCTTGACTGTATTGGTTTGCATTGTCATGCCGCTTCTGTTTCTTTTTCTTCTTTACTGTTGTCCAATTGTTTGCTGTTGTTTCGTCATGGTTGTGGCTGTCACTTGGTGGGTTTGTTGGTTGCCATTCCGGTGGAAGGTTGAGTTGCAGTAGTTACAGAGCTTCAGGTATGTTGGTGGCTGTTTGTTGTGCTGTGTTGGTTGTTACAATGAGGTGGAAGGGGAAGCCCCATTGGTACTTGATCCCTGCTTGTTGGAGACGCTGGGTGCACAGGCGTAGGCTTTTCTCCAATTTAGGATATCCTGAGATAAATCCTGTAAGGCCAATATGGGGGTTTCTTCATATTGAAGGTTGGTTGAGTTTCTGAGGTTGTTCCATACCTCTTCCTTCTTTTGTAGCATGAGAAGCACACAATGATGTCTCTTGGAGGGGTGCTGGGTTTTGGCATAGGTTTTAGGGCTCTGTGAGCCCTCTCCAGGTCGTCTACCTCAAGTGTCAGGTTTGGGATTGTATTTTTCAGCCAGCATACAATTAGGTCTGCTGGGCTTTTCTCCTCTGCTTTTTCAGGAAAGTTGCGGAAGCGAATGTTGCAACGTCTATTGCGATCTTTTGAGGTCCACTTGTTTGATTCTCATTTCTGTGCTTTCTGTTTCCAGGTGATTTACCAGTTCATGCAATTTCTTATTCACAAGTGCTTTCTCCTCCCGGTATTGCTCTATTATTCTTTCTTGCATTTGGTTCTTGTTCTCCAGAGCTTTCATTTTGGAGGTTAGACCGTTGATTAATACCTGTAGGGAGCCACTGTGGCCTTCAGTGTTCTTCTTTGGCGAGGAAGATGGTCTTCAATGAACATGGTCTTACCAATGAGTCCGTAAGTGACTGTGGAGGCCAGTTCTGGATCCACACATCCTTCCACAGTGGGGACAGAGGTTTCCAAACAGGAATTGATCACGGTGAGGGTTTGCCAAAAGTGCCTTCTTCCTCTTAGCATGTTTCTCCCTTTCGGCCTGAGTTCAAGCATCTTCAGAGTTGTCCCATATGGAGATGGAACTTGTGATCTTGGCATTTTCAGCACAACCCTCTAACCAGTGAGATAGAGTCAGAGAAAGATGTTGCATCAGTCTAGAAATATGGGCGAATGTTGTCATGGAATTCCTTTCCAATTTATATATAAGTGATCTCTCGAATTTGGGGGCGGGGGTGGGCAATGTCAGAGTGAGTTACAATCTGAGATGCAATACATCAGCACCCAAAGATAGTAAATGCATTCCCAGTCTGGGATGCTTCAAGAGCTAAGGACCCGTGTTCAGGATAGGCAATAACCGTGGCTGGAGAGCCAGTGTGGTGTAGTGGTTAAGAGCGGTAGTCTCATAATCTGGGGAACCAGGTTCGAGTCTCCACTCCTCCACATGCAGCTGCTGGGTGACCTTGGGCCAGTCACACTTCTTTGAAGTCTCTCAGCCCCACTCACCTCACAGAGTGTTTGTTGTGGGGGGGAAGGGAAAGGAGAATGTTAGCCGCTTTGAGACTCCTTAAAGGGAGTGAAAGGCGGGATATCAAATCCAAACTCTTCTTCTTCTTCTTCCTACACACAGGGCTGTGCATATGCAGGCCAAGGATGGCCCGTATTACAGGCAAAGTGTGTGAGCTTGCCAAATTTATGTTAGTGGAGGCATGCATGCATGTATGTGTTTGTTTGTTTGTTTGTTTGTTTGTTTGACTGGCCCTCTTGGCTAGGCCCATGGTGGAGAATATGTAGATGCGGACCAAGGATTGGCAACACTATAGGCTTGGTGTGTCAACGCTGTGTGTGAGACAGTGAGCGGGTGGGGTTATAGCTTGTAGCAAAACTATTAATTTTGGCAATTCCTCACTTTTCATGCGCTGATATTGTCATACAGACTTGGTACAATTTCCAAAATAACTATGCAAAATCCACAAAAATATGTACAGGTGGCAACAGATACTTCTCTGTCTTGGCTTCAAAAGATGAATATAGTAGTTTTGAATATTTTTACAGTCACATTTGACTTCTATAACACTTTTGCTTTAATTATTCCACTTAGGAGAGTTTATTCCACTTAGGAGACTGGGTTCCACACAGTCACAAAAACAAGTCACAAAAATGAAGTAACATGCCAGAGTCACGAAAACAAAGTCACAAGTCACAAGCCACAGTCACAAGTCAGTCCCATAGAACTAAGAACAAGTCACAGTCAAAAAAATGAAAAAGCCACACATAAAAAGACAAAAATAATAATAATGCAAAAACAAAAGCTCCAAATATCACCTCTGTGTTGTGTGGATTCTCGGGACTCAACAGCCGACAGACTCAACAGGAAGCCTCTGATTAGCAGCGGGGGACTCAATTTACAAATGGAACACACTCAACAGGAAGCAGAACATGTTCTGCTTCCAAGGCAAAATTCACAAACCAAAACACCTCCTGGGTTTGCAGCATTCTTATTCCACGTTGGGGAGAAACTTTTTCAATGCCATGAGTGTGGTAAGAGCTTTGGTCACCATTCCTATCTCATCACCCATCAGAGAACTCATACAGGTCAGAAACCATATCAGTGCTTTGAATGTGGGAAAAACTTCAGTCAAAGCACCCATCTCACGACCCATCAAAGAATTCATACAGGGGAGAAACCCTATCAGTGCTTGGAATGCAGAAAGAGCTTCAGTCATAGTTCTGCTCTAACTATGCATCATAGAATTCATACACGGGAGAAACCCTATAAGTGCTTGAAATGTGGGAAGAGCTTCAGTCACAGAAAGAGTCTTACTTGCCATCAAAGAAGTCATACAGGGGAGAAACCGTATAGGTGCTTGGAATGTGGAAAGTGCTTTAGTCAAAATGCACATCTCACTTCCCATCAAAGAATTCATACAGGGAGAAACCCTATCAGTGCCTGGAATGTGGAAAGAGCTTTCGTCAGAGAAGTGCTCTCACTTTACATCAAAGAGTCCATACAGGGAGAAACCCTATCAGTGCTTTGAATGTGGAAAGAGCTTTCGTCAGAGAGGTGATCTCACTTCCCATCAAAGAGTCCATACAGGGAGAAACCATATCAGTGCTTGGAATGTGGAAAAGCTTCAGTAAGAGGATACAGCTTACTTCCCATTACAGAATTCATACAGGGGAGAAACCATATCCATGCCTGGAATGTGGGAAGAGCTTCAGTTACAGGCAGATTCTTACTTTGCATCAAAAAGTTCATATAGGGGAGAAACCCTATCAATGCTTTGAATGTGGAAAGTGCTTCAGCCAGGGGATCCATCTCACTTCCCATCAAAGAATTCATACAGGGGAGAAACCATATGAATGCTTAAAATGTGGGAAGAGCTTCAGTCTCAGGCACAGTCTCACTTCGCACCAAAGAATTCATACAGGAAGGAAACCCTATCAGTGCTTGGAATGTGGAAAGAGCTTCCGTCAAAGTTCCCATCTCACTTCCCATAACAGAATTCATAAAGGGGAGAAACCCTATCAGTGCTTGGTATGTGGAAAGAGCTTCCGGAGGGGACCAAGCTCACTTCCCATCAAAGAATTCATACAGAGGGAAAACCAAAAAGGAAAAATAATAACGCAAACATTATTGAACAACCCTTACAAAACACATTTGTATAGAAAAGAGAAAGGGCGGAGGAGAATAACTAAAAATACCCTTTATCACATTTGTATCATATATATCATATCATTTGTCAACACATAGAAAGGCAGGCTCCCCAGCTCTCCCTGGGTGCCCCCTTCTCCTTGTCTCCCACCCTGAGTGATCGTTCCTCTGTAGCAATAATTATTCAGAATACGCTCTCCAGGATAAACCCAGCTGTATTTAGTATCCAGTAACCTTCAGCAAGATGGCACTTTCCCTACATTGTGCCCCCACAGCCCAGCCTTCAAATCTTAACCACTCAGACAGTAATCATCTAATACAGTGGTACCTCAGGTTACATACGCTTCAGGTTACATACGCTTCAGGTTACAGACTCCCCTAACCCAGAAATAGTACCTCGGGTTAAGAACTTTGCTTCAGGATGAGAACAGAAATGGTGCTCCGGCAGCGGCAGCAGGAAGCCCCTATTAGCTAAAGTGGTGCTTCGGGTTAAGAACAGTTTCAGGTTAAGAGCGGACCTCCGGAGCAGATTAAGTACTTAACCCGAGGTACCACTGTAATCCAAATTAGTATTTCTCCAGTTTCTAGGTCCAGTTTCTATAAAGCCATATTAAAACTGTTCCAACAAATCTCAGTCAAGTCACAGTCCAAAATTATTGTGTCTTTTAATGTTTATCCAATCCTGCTTCCTCTTCTTTTACTAATCTTTCCTAATCCACTGGGGGTGGGGAAGAAGGCATATTAAATCCCTTTCCTCATACGAAATCATAGCTTGTGGTGTGAACAGTTTCAGGAGTTGCACTGCATCCCCTTTTGCTGGATGTACATTTTTCTCTGCTGACAATTCCCACACCAGCTCATCCCAACGCAGCCTTGTCTTTCCATGGAGCTCTTGCTCTCTCCTCTTGTTCTTCCCTCACCTGCTCAACAGAACCTTCTGCCACTCCCAGCAACTCCTTTCCAATGACTCCCAGCTTATGACCCACACATTCACCTCAGTCTCTCTTTCTGGGACCCGTCTTGGTCTTCCATGCCAAGGAGCTCCATGTCTGGATGGGCTCAGTGTGACCTTGAGATAACAAAATGCAAATCATAATAAATCCAGCTGCCTCAGCAGAAAAGAACAAAACCTTCTGGAAGGAACCAGTGTTTTCCAGTATTTTCCGGTTTCTCCTCTCAGGATTTTAGCCATGACATTTTGTCCCACTGCCAGAAAAGCATCTTTAGCTCCCTAGTTTCTGTGGCAACACTTTGGCTCAAGTTTCCATCACAGAATCGTAGAATGGGAGAGTCGGAAGTGTGGGGATGTTTAGGGAGGCAGGAGAAGGATATATTGTTTACTAATATCCTTCCTAACTTGCATTAGCCGGTACTAGAACTTCGCAGAGTTCCAAACATTCCCCTTTTTAAATTTGCACGGTGGTTAGCTTGTTGCAGGCTTGCTTAAGCCTCTTTAAATATAGGATTCCTGCTAAGATCCCTTCTACTCCCTCATAAAGATATGACACAATCTTATTATAGTAAATCTAAAAGTAGTTTACTCACTCATTCAGTTCACAGATGCATCCCTGAAGGCAGACTTGGGTTACAAAAGTGTATAACTTTATGAACTGTCCCATAAGGGAGTTAGTCCCAAGTGACTGCAACTGAGCTGTCACTTCTCCTAACATATAGAAGGGAGCCTGGGTGTCATCTGGTCCTGCCCCCTGCAAGTCAGGAATCTCATCCAAGACAGATGGCCATCCAACCTCTGCTTTAAAAACTCCATGGAAGGAGAGTCCAGCACCTACCAAGGGAGTCTGTTCCACTCTGGAAGAACTCTTCCTGTCCTAAAGTATTTCCTGAGGTTTAGCTGGAATCTCCTTTCTTGTAACTTGAAGCCATTGCTCCATCCTGAACACCTTGCTCCATCCTGCAGGTGACAGCCCTTTCATAACATGTATACGTTGTAGAAAATAACAATTCCATAAAACGGCATTTGGATGATTCTTATTTCTTTTAAGCCTATGGCCTAACTTAATTGAAAAGGCCTGTGCCTGCCTACCTTTGATGGAACAGAACAAGCTGCTTTTAGGTACTGTATGTAGCAAATGTCTGTTCCAGTACCCTGAAAAGAATAAAGTGGGAGTTGTATGCATGAAAAGAGAATCAGCCAGGCATGGCAATTTTGATTCATCTTGAACTGTTTTGCAGATGGGTGAAAGAGGACGTTGGAAGACATTTAGTGATTAGGAATATTAGCCAAAGTCTTAAAAAGAAAGACACAAAAAATAGTTATATATGATATTATGACCAGGGCATATCTGAAGAGCCAAATGATTTTGGTTAGTTCAGGATGATGACATTTGGTTGCAACTATTAAGATTGCTGTGATCCTTTGATTGGTGAATAGGAATGATGTGCAATTTGCCATTCCATCCACAAAAACCCTAGAATAAAATATAAATTACTTATTGATCGGAGAAAGAGAGGCGGATTTGACCTATGTGACCTGGAATTATATCATGGTGCAGCAGCTCTGACCTGCTTAAAGGAATGGATTAAGTTAAAGGAAACTGATGTGTTAGATCTGGAGGACGTAGGCACTCGATTTGGATGGTATGCATACCTAATAGATGGAAAGGAGAGAGTCCACAAGGGTTTTCTGGACCATATTATAAGGAAATCATTGTATAAAATATGGATGTATATAAAGGGATCCTAGAACCCAAAACTGTTGGATTTAAGCAGGTTTCTTGCACAGCCTGCTATAATTTCTGGCCATCCTTCACACTTCCCTGTGCCACTGGATGTGAGCCAGTGTGGTGTAGTGGTTAAGAGCGGTAGTCTCGTAATCTGGGGAACCAGGTTCGCGTCTTTGCTCCTCCACATGCAGCTGCTGGGTGACCTTGGGCCAGTCATGCTTCTTTGAAGTCTCTCAGCCCCACTCACCTCACAGAGTGTTTGTTGTGGGGGAGGAAGGGAAAGGAGAATGTTAGCCGCTTTGAGACTCCTTAAAGGGAGTGAAAGGTGGGATATCAAATCCAAACTCCTCCTCCTCCTCTTCTTCTTCTTCTTCTTCTTCTTCTTCTTCTTCTTCTTCTTCCCAGTTTCAAGCAGAGTATCGCAGCAGTGGTGTGCCTTGTGTAGGTGCAATAAATAACAGGTCCATACACTGACGGAAGCCAGCCGTCACAAATGGCGCAGTTTAGCATAAAATAAAGAGCCACAATATTTTCAGGATGGTATGAGCAGCTCCTTTCGAACTTCTCTTCTCTCCGGTATCTTTTATTATCCTTTGTTCTCTCCTGTCGCATGGCCGTTTGCCAATGTCTCACGTTACCTACATCCGGTCATGGCTTTAACCCACCCATCGCCATATAAGGTTATGCACTTAATACACTGCAAGGCACGGGCATGCAGGTCAGCGGAGGCACCAGGTGGCGCTACAAGTCTTTGCCATGACTTCATGGCTCCCACATGCCCTCTCTTTATTTTATATCAGAGTCATATATGTCATTACCAATACGGTTATATCGAGCACGATAGGCAACTCTTGTGAGGCCAGAAGCAGGCTGCTGACGGGAGAACCATGCAGTACATATAGAAATTAAAGAAGGAATACATTGTATACAGCAACACAAAATAATGCAAATAACTACTATTAGGATCACTAAAATCAATAAATGTCGAAGCCAACTTCCATCCGGAAGCCAAGAATATAAGAATTCTGATTCCAAGCTGCATGGTAGGCTTCCTTTCTAGTTTATTAGCCATGCACTGGTGTCACTCCTATAGCACTGAGATTGGTCACTGTATGTTCCTGTAAGAGAACAAGAGCTATTAAAAGTGAAATTCAATGTATATTGACAGTTTGGATATATGCCCCATGATTCTTTCCCCTCTTTAAGTTGAAAACAAATGGGGGCAGGCTCATGGAGGGTCAATTGTACTGGAGGCCAAAAAGTTTGCTTAGGGGATATAATATGAGTAAATTGAAAAGATCCATTGACAGGCACACCACGAAGCATTATGCCGGAATGACTGGCAAAGGGGGCATGTGCATACACAACCAACATTTAGAAGCATGTAATAAACCGGTAAACATAATCATATCTTGTACAAAAATATTATCCCTCCATATCTTATGATAATTTTCTCCCCTAAAAGTCTTATTCAACAACGCTGTTCTTCTAGTTCGAAAGTGGCTGAGCCATGTATACTGCCAGCCAGAGTATGATTCAGGCGACAGCTGCTTGCCAGCCGATAAGGTGAAATATGGTGGTTTCAAGTGGACTGGGTCGTCTGCTTCTCTTCCTTGTATAACGGTGCAGCAAAGGATGGCAAGGCAAATGGTGAGGAAGGCAAACAGCTCGTGTGCAGCACCTCTAGGTGGCGCATGCGGAAAGGTTTCAATGCTTCACCCACAAAATGTTGACAAAGTGTAGGGAGTTCTGCATGCCTTGAGGCAGGACAACCCACTGATATCGCTGGGTGGGCTGTGAATTGTTATATACAGTGGTGCCTCGCAAGACGAAATTAATCCGTTCCGTGAGAGTCTTCGTCTAGCGGTTTTTTCGTCTTGCGAAGCAACCCTATTAGCGGCTTAACGGATTAGCGCTATTAGTGGTTTAGCGGCTATTAAAGGCTTAAAGGCTTAGGGATTAGCGGCTAAAAGGCTATTAAAGGCTCTTAAAGGCTTAGCAGATTAGATAAAGGGGGGGAAAGCGAAAAAAAAATCTCAAGACTCGCAAGACATTTTCGTCTTGCGAAGCAAGCCCATAGGGGAATTCGTCCTGCGAAGCAACTCCAAAACAGAAAACCCTTTCGTCTAGCGGGTTTTCCGTCTTGCGAGGCATTCGTCTTGCGGGGCACCACTGTACTGGCAATGTAAAAGCAAACCGTTCCCTGTCTGCTGGAGCCAGTGGGATGAAGATGGTTCAATGTGGCCGAAAGTCAATTGTTCAGAAATAAGCTGTTCAGAAACATGCCGGTGCCGCTGCTACAGATTTTTCTTTGGTAGAGGCCACTGTTCTACCCACACTGGGGTATCGGTGATCCTGGTTTGCCACACTGGAAACAAGTTGTATCGGTGGCTACAGGCTGGTTTTCATTTAGCGCTGCAGCCAGCAGATGAGCCTTGTGGGTGGCTGTACCTACAGACTGACAAATGCGAAGCATGGCTGCTGTGTCTGTGGCAGGATTGTGTATTATCGGTCGTAACGCAACCTTACAATCCTCATTGGCATTTTCAAAGGCCAATTGTTTGATAATTATTTGTTTGGCTTCAGGATTTTCAATTTGGCGACTCACTGCTGTAAGCAGCCTGTCCATAAAGGAAGAATATGATTCTCTTGCCTCTTGCCTGATTGAACCCCACCTTGATTGAATACTGGGTTCTGGGATTTTTCTCATTGCTTGTTTAGCAGCAAGAGCGGTGTCCCTCAATAAGATTTGCAGCAGTGTGGCTTGCACTGAAGCCTGAGCGAAGGGACCACGCCCCATCATGGCATCTATGACGTCTGCGAGGGTAATATTTGGATTATTTCCTCTGATTTGTTGTAACAAAGCCGGAGCATAAGCACGGCAGGCAGTTTCCCATTCGTGGGCAAACAAAACACCAGCTGATGGGGGTAACACTGTATGGGCCAAAAGCTTGATGTCCTCTGGAACCAAGAGCTGAGCTAATGTGGCTTCTAAAAGCGCCTGCGTATATGGGGCTTGGAGTCCATTGGTCTTTACTGACTGCTGCAGCTCTTTCAAGATCTTAAAGTCAAAAGGTTGGTGTTGGGCTTGAGTTCCTGCTGGAGCGCCAGCAGGGGGGCACAATAACAGGGAATGCCATAGTATCCTGAATTAAGGAACAGGCAAGGACTGCACGTTGAAAAGGGGTATCTGGTTCTGCCGCTGAAAGAGTAGGATCATTGCCAGCCAGACCACGGTATTTTTGCAGGATTGGGTCCTCTGGTGAGGAACTGTAGTCTGGAGGTTTGGGGTCTGGGGCTGCTGGCAAGGCAAGTATTGGAACAGACGCTAACACAGCAGGCTGGACTAAAGAAGCCGGAGGTTGTGTTGGCAATGCAGCCATGGAGATTTTTTTGGTGATAAAGAGCCCATGGCGTAACGAACCTTGCACCATGCATTTAGAATCCGAATACCAATGCTGGGGTGCCCATGAAAATGTGCACCAATCTTGTCCCAATGTTTTAATTCCCAAGTCCCATCTGCAGGAAACCAGGGGCAATGCTCATCAATGGCCAGAATAAGCTGTATCAAATCACCCTCCGGAACTTCCAATTTGTTGGAAGAGAGGAGAAATTTTAAGTCTTTTAAAAATTTCTGTTGGGGAGTAGACAAAGAGCTGCCCATTTTTCTAAAATCGAGATAAAAGGGATCAAACTCACCGAGATCTTTTAAAGATGTGCAGCGCTTGCAACCCTTGCCAGGCGTGGTGAGCCGATGATATCCGTTGCGTGGATCGAAAAACCTCACACGGTTTTCTTTTAAAAGCCTCAGACGTATTCTTTTAGTCAGCCTCACACGGGGCACCACTTGACGGAAGCCAGCCGTCACAAATGGCGCAGTTTAGCATAAAATAAAGACACAGAGAGCCAGCAATATTTTCAGGATGGTATGAGCAGCTCCTTTCGAACTTCTCTCCTCTCCAGTATCTTTTATTATCCTTTGTTCTCTCCTGTTGCATGGCCGTTTGCCAATGTCTCACGTTACCTACATCCGGTCATGGCTTTAACCCACCCATCGCCATATAAGGTTATGCACTTAATACACTGCAAGGCATGGACAAGGTCACCGAGGTCAGCGAGGCACCAGGTGACGCTACAAGTCTTTGCCATGACTTCATGGCTCCCACAATACACCGGCTTCTTCCTAATCTAAAGAAGCTTTAGGTAAAGATAAAGGGACCCTTGACCATTAGTTCCAGTCGCGGCCGACTCTGGTGTTGCGGCGATCATCTCGCTTTATTGGCTGAGGGAGCCGGTGTACAGCTTCCGGGTCATGTCGCCAGCATGACTAAGCCGCACCTCTCAGTAGGCAGGTCGATACCTAGAGCTGTTTAACCCTGTAAGTTCTGATTCTCACAAAAACACCTTGGTGGACCTCACCTTAGAAATCATGACCGTAAAGAGAAAGAATATGAATAACAACTGGGCAGCATATAAGGATTACTGGAAAAGGAAAATAATAAACTTAAATTGAAAAAATATAAGGAAGTTAGGAGATATTTGAACAACTGGCTGCAGTTCTTTAAATTAATCAGAGATTGGCAAAAGATAAACAAAAGGGATTTGAGAAAGAAATTTCAAGATTGGATGAGTACTTAATCTAATCTAAAAGTAAACATATTTCCAAACTATATGATTTGCTCCTAGAATGCGAGGTAAAAGAGGAGCAAGTGAAGACAGAGAATTCAGAACATGATTAGAGTGAAAGGAGAGTAAAGTTAAGATAGAAGAGATTAAAGAAATAATGAAATGCGTTTAAGTCAATTGGAGAAATAAAGTAGCGTAACAAGAATGGCTGGAAGAAGAAGAGTTTGGATTTGATATCCCGCTTTATCACTACCTGAAGGAGTCTCAAAGCGGCTAACATTCTCCTTTCCTTCCTCCCCCACAACAAACACTCTGTGAGGTGGAGGAGTGGGGAAGCGAATCCGGTTCCCCAGATTACGAGTCTACCGCTCTTAACCACTACACCACACTGGCTCAAGTCACCTTGTGGCTGTTCATGTGGGGTAGGTGTGTTGGTATGTATAGTATAGGTAAGTATAATATAGAGTAATGTTAGGTATGCTTTATGTTAGGAAATAAAGTATTGTTTACAGAGTGGTACCTCGCGTTAAGTACTTAATTTGTTCTGGAGGTCCGTTCTGAACCTGAAACTGTTCTTAACCTGAAGCACCACTTTAGCTAATGGGGCCTCCTGCTGCTGCTGCGCCGCCGGAACACGATTTCTGTTCTCATCCTGAAGCAAAGTTCTTAACCCGAGGTACTATTTCTGGGTTAGCGGAGTCTGTAACCTGAAACGTATGTAACCTGAAGCGTATGTAACCTGAGGTCCCACTTTATGTACTGTGTACATGTATGCGTTTTATATGTTAATAAAATATTTTAACTAAAAAAAAGGAATGAAGGATGTGGTTCTTTGCAGACACATTTGTATTTCAATAAAGGCCTATCTTTTTACTTGGAGACTTCCTCCTTTTCTTTTGGGTTTCTGTGTGGATAACCTCCAGTCTGGGAACCTCTTCTTGAATTTCTACTACATATACATGACAGGATTTTTTAAAAATAAAAAAGTGATTTATAATGAGACTGAATATAATTATTGGTAGAAACAACTCTTTAAAACTTTCAAAAAATGAATCAGCAATACATTTTAAAACAGAATTTTTTCTTACCGTGAAGTTTAGTTTACAGATGGTTGGGGAGGGGGCACAACATGCCGAAGCAGAGCCCATTTTTTTATTTTTTCCAAATCATTTTTATTAATTTTCCTAGTAAGGCCGTTTCCCATACTATTTGGTACCATTGGTCCATGCTTACTCCTGACAGGTCTCTCCAGTGTCTGGTTTTGATGTTTCTGGCTGCTGATAGTAGGTGGGTTATGAGTGGCTGAGAGCGAGGAGAGCAGAGGGAAAGGGCCCCTCACTCACGAACCCCCCAAGTCTGAATCTGTGATGGAAGCAGGGCTGCGTCCCAAGGATTGAATGGGAGCACAACACAGGGAAGGAACAAGAGGGAAGGAGCAGAAACCCAGGGAACATTTGGCCCCCATTTCTAGAAAGCAGAACATCCGCCTGAAGTGGAGCAACTGCTTTTTGGCAAGCGGAGCAGAAGAATAAGTTGACTTCCACCAGAAAGAAGACATCTCCTGACAGCAGGTTTTTCTGGGGAAATAGAAATTTTCATGTTTGTTCAGCGTCAGCCCAAGACTCTAAATCACCAAGTTTTCCCTCACACCAGAGAGGCTGTGCTCAATGGCAGAAATTCATTTAATGGGCGTACCGTGAGGCGGATCCACTATATTTCATTGGGGGCCATTAGCAGGGATATAATACGACTTTATTAATGGGAGGCTTGAGGTGGGATCCGCTACAAGGCCATTATAAAATGACCAGAAAGAGTTGTAGAGTTGGAATGCATTTATACCAAATATAGTAGGTTAAGAATCAACATACATGTTTTTGAATAATAATATCACCTAGACATTAGATAAGTATATATGGAATTGGAATTGTTAACTCTTATAATGATATAGTGTGTTGTTTAGTGTTGTTCAACACTGATCATTTAAAAAGAAACTAATAATAATAGTAAACAACTGTGAGGTTGGACCCCAACTGACATCTAGTTCCACCCCCTGCAATAAAGAATCCCTGACATTTGGCCTTCCAGCCTCCGTTTGGAAAACCTCCAAAGAAAGCAATTCTGACACTGGTGGTTTACAAACAGAGATCGGGAAGGAGTGTTTGCTGACACTGAAGATCCAGAGAATCATTTAATTTTGTTTTACTTCTTAACACAGGAGTGCTGGAAAGGAAACAAATCAAGGGTGTGTGTGTCGGGGGGTATAATAATTAACTCACGCCCAGGTTGGGAAATGCCGCATCAGCCCCACAGCGAAATGGGTGCAGTTTCCCAGCCTCAGTTGTGGCGCCTGTGAAATGGGTATATCACAGTGAGGCTGAATTTAGAGGTGCTTCAAGGTGAAGGAGAAGCAGGGAGGGGAAGGGGCAGGCTGGGCTTTGCAAAGGGCCTGGTTTTTATTTTAAGGGTGGGGGTCTCCAGACCCAGGACCTGGAAGACCAGGCCGGCCTCAACCTCCGGGGGCAACTCGGACTCCAGGGCAGATTCTTCCAGGCGTCTCCTGGGTGGGGGCAGGAACAAAATGGCGGGGCGCTGCTTGAGGGCACTGGGCATGACTGAGCCTCTGCCCCCAGCCTCCTCCAGGAACCAGCAGCCCAGCTTGGCCACCAGAGGCAAGGTTCTGCCAAATGACGCTCCTGGGAGGAGGAGGAAGAAGGGGGTGGACTAGATGGCCCCTGGGTGTGATTCTAGGAGCGGAAGGGCTCAGGAGAGCCCCAAAGCAGCAGCAGCAGCAGCAGCAGCAGCAGAATCTGGGTCCGGACCAAGGGGACCCCTCCCACCTAGCCCAGCCTCCTGGCAGCAGCCGACCAGGCGCCCCCCACCCCCGGGAACTCCGCAAGCAGGAGCTGAAGAGCATCCTCCCAGTCTCCTTCTCCCCCGTTCCAAGGTAGACTGGCTCTGTCCATGGAGGATCCCCTTGGGCATCGCGGGGACAAAGCAGAGCCAAAGGGGACCAGGCTCCCCCCAAGCGAAGAGGCCCACGAGGGCAGCGGCACTCTCTCCCCAGGGGCAGCACTGGGCCTTCTTCAGGACTACGCTTCCAGGAAAGCGGAGGGACTATCCCGGGCCAAATTCCCCTCCTCCCCGCGCCCTCCCGGATCCTGGCCAGGCCGCCCCACCTTCCCCGCCTGGACTAGATGACCCTCAGGGTCCCTTCCAGCTCCAAAATTCTACGGTTCTCTGAATTCTAAGATTCTGAAGTTGAATCGGAAACAGAGGGAAACGAGCTGCCTCCTCCAGAATTTGGGAAGGGGGCGGGAGGGAGAGCAGCGAGGTGGGGGCGCCCCATCTGACATTTGTGCCTCTGAGTCTTCCTGCCTAAATGCAGAACCCGACCAGAAGGTCACTTTCTAAGTCTGGAGCGCGTTCTCCAACTGGGGCGTGTACTGATTGATTGATTTGCATTTAATAGATTCACAGGGGGGTCGGGGGTCCTCCAGTCCAACCCTTTGCGATGCCTAAAGTGGGGCTTGAACCCAGGACCCAGCTGAAGCATTATTATTATTTTATTTACCCCCCACCCATCTCGGGGCAGGGCACTAAGCTGCTGTCTTGAGGGACTCTGAGCCGAGAATCACAGAGAACTCTGCACATGCCCTGGACCACCCGGATTCTGGGAGGGAAGGAGGACAGCCATCCAGGGGGCTGTGCTCAGCTTGCGAAGGGTTAAATGGAACAGAGCCGGAGTCCTAGAGAGGACAGGAAGTAGAGAGGCGGGGCTGGCTCTCTAGAGCCGAATCCCCTCCCTCTGTGCCCAGTCCCTTGCGGGCGGCATCTTTTGTCTCTTGTCTCCTCTACGCGCTGCCCGTGTTTCCCTCCTGGGAAGAATCCGGTGAGTCTCCTCTCTCTTCCCCCTTGGGGTGCCCATGGGAGAAGGGGGTCCCGGGGCTGCAGGGGGAGACCCCCAAGTCTGGGAGCAGAGAGTCCTGCCCCCCCCATTCCCGTCTGCCAAGCCTGGGAGGGGGCGAGTTTCCAGGTGGTCTGCAGCTCTGCTCTTCCTTAGCATCCTCTTTGGGGAAGGAGGGAGGGGTCTGGGGGGGAGAGGGCATGCCCAGAATGCCCCTTCCAGTGGAGGAGCCCCTGCCAGGCCGGCCTTTGCTCCTGGCAGAGCCTTTCCCCCTGCCAGATCCTCCTCCAGATCAGCTCAGGTCTCCAGCCCAGAGCCTCAAGGGAAGCCTCTCTGGGCAGGGGCAACGCCTGGGGCTCCTCCGTGGAGAAAAGGGGAGAGCCAGAGGGCTGAGCTGGCTGCACTGGGCTTGCCAATGCAGGGAGGAGAAGGACGGGGCTCTGGGTGGCAGGTCTGCCAACTTTTCTCTCTCTGATCCCAGAGTGAGCTTTCAAGGATGTTCCCCATCCTGGAGTTTCTCTGCAGCTGCTGCTATTGCAGAATGTTTTAGTTACATTAAACTTGTAATTTTCACAGTGCGTAGGTAAAACTGGAACTCCAACCCGCAGGAGCCAGGGATTGGACAGACTTTTCTAAAGGGAACTAAGAAAATCTATACGGAATATATGGCAAGCATGATTGTGAATAATGCTCTCTTAGAAAAATGTAAGATACAGTAGGGGACATTTATTTATGTATTATCAAGAAGAATAAAGCAAGGATAAAAGACACCTACTCATAGAATCACAGAGTTGGAAGAGACCACAAGGGCCATGGAGTCCAACCCCTGCCAAGCAGGAAACACCATCAGAGCATTCCTGACATATGGTTGTCAAGCCTCTGCTTAAAGACCTCCAAAGAAGGAGACTCCACCACACTCCTTGGCAGCAAATTCCACTGTCAAACAGCTCTTACTGTCAGGAAGTTCTTCCTAATGTTTAGGTGGAATCTTCTCTCTTGTAGTTTGGATCCATTGCTCCGTGTCCGCTTCTCTGGAGCAGCAGAAAACAACCTTTCTCCCTCCTCTATGTGACATCCTTTTATATATTTGAACATGGCTATCATATCACCCCTTAACCTCCTCTTCTCCAGGCTAAACATGCCCAGCTCCCTTAGCCGTTCCTCATAAGGCATCCTGCACATGCCCTGGACCACCCGGATTCTGGGAGGGAAGGAGGACAGCCAGCCAGCCAGGGGGCTGTGCTCGGCTTGCGAAGGGTTAAATGGAACAGAGCCGGAGTCCTAGAGAGGACAGGAAGTAGAGAGGCGGGGCGGGCTCTCCAGAGCAGAATCCCTTCCCTCCGTGCCCAGTCCCGTCTTTTGTCTCTTGTCTCCTCCCCGCGCTGCCTCGGTTTCCCTCCTGGGAAGAATCCGGTGAGTCTCCTCTCTCTTCCCCCTTGGGGTGCCCATGGGAGAAGGGGGTCCCGGGGCTACAGGGAGAGACCCCCAAGTCTGGGAGCAGAGGGTCCTGCCCCCCCCATTCCCGTCTGCCAAGCCTGGGAGGGGGCGAGTTTCCAGGGGGTCTGCAGCTCTGCTCTTCCTTGGCATCCTCTTTGGGGAAGGAGGGAGGGGTCTGGGGGGGGAGGGCATGCCCAGAATGCCCCTTCCAGTGGAGGAGCCCCTGCCAGGCCGGCCTTTCCCCCGGCCAGATCCTCCTCCAGATCAGCTCAGGTCTCCAGCCCAGAGCCCCAGGGGAAGCCTCTCTGGGCAGGGGCCACGCCTGGGGCTCCTCCGTGGAGAAAAGGGGAGAGCCAGAGGGCTGAGCTGGCTGCACTGGGCTTGCCAGGGTTCAAGGGAACGGAGCTGCCTTCCTTGAGAGGAGAGGGTGGAATGCCGCCTTAAGAACCCCAAGATCTTGTCCTGAAGGGGGTGAGGCAATGTAGGGAGGAGAAGGAGGGGGCTCTGGGTGGCAGGTCTGCCAACTTTTCTCTCTCTGATCCCAGAGTGAGCTTTCAAGGATGTTCCCCATCCCAGAGTTTCTCTGCAGCTGCTGCTATTAGAAAACAAGCCCATAGCCTTTGGAGTCCCCAGGTCGCCCATCCCCCCCAGTCTTGTCTCCATTGCAGAGTGCTTTATTTACATTAAACTTAAAACTTTCACAGTGTGTAGGTAAAACTGGAACTCCCTCCCGCAGGAGCCAGGGATAGGAGAGGCTTTTCTAAAGGGAAATAATCTATACATGGTGTACTAATTATAGGGGTTGCTCGTGCGTAAGTTGCTGCCACTCCTGGCTAGGTTGCCTGGTTAAACCTTTTCTGTCTGGACAGCCCTTCACTCCGTGGCTGTTCAGTCACTAGCAGAATCCGTCAGTGGGCGTTTCTTAAACCTTTTCCAGCATAAAAGCTGTTTGACGCCAAGTCTCCTTCTACTCTCCCTGCGCGGAAGTCTTCTGCGCAGGGAGGGTGTTGGTAGCGGAGGACCCGTGCTCTCCCCGCTGGTCTCCGGCGAGGAGTCCTGGAGCCCCCTCGCTGATTCCCCCATCTGCCCCCCTTTATCCCTGGTGTTACGCTGATTTTCTTCCCCAGCTGATGAGCTGCCTCTCTCCCTGCTGGGCCCTTCTCCAGCATCGCTTGGGAGCCTTGCCTCCACCTGTGGCTCCGATGTCAGTTCCCTGACATCCACCTCCCCCCCAGGACCCCCACCACCCCCCGCCCCACCAGTTGATCCAACATCGTCCCATTCCACGGCCGACGATGCGGGGAATCCCCGGAAGGAGCTGTCGCCATCCTCTGAGGATTCAAAACCTGCTTCCCACCCGCTCCGATCTCTTCCTGCGGGGTGGGCCTCCCAGTCTGATTCTTCTTCCTCCGAAGCCTCTCCTCCCTCCTCTTCGGAGGCAGAAAAACCCACAAAATCCTCTTCATCGTCTGTGGTTCCAAATTGCTCCTCCCAGAATCTCGTTAGTGGTTTCGGTTTGTCCGGGAACAGGCTGTGGAATTCCTCCACAAGATACCCGTCCTTGATTGCCTCCGCGGGAACCCACGTGTTTTCCGGCCCGGGTTCTCCCTCCCAAGCTACCAAGTACTCCACCTGGCGCCCTCGCCACCTTGAATCGAGTATTTCCGTGGCCAGGTTGCGGTGTTCCCTCTCCTCTATCTGCGGGTGTGTGGTGACTTCTCCCTCTCGCCCCGGGAATTCCCGCCCCTCCCTGTACGGTGAGAGTAGGGACCTATGGAACACCGGGTGTATCTTCATGCTGTCAGGCAACTTGAGCTTGAATGCCACGGGCTTCACCTGTTTGAGTACCCTTCCCCTCAAGGTCTCCCCCGGTATGTACAGCCCCCCCTTGTAGTACAGTAGCCCTTCCTTTTCCTCAAGCCCTCCATGGTTTTCCCTTCCGTCCCGGATTTCCCTGATTTTAGTTTGAGCGAATTCGTCGTTTCTAGTAAGCCCGGCCAGTTCTCGTTTCCCAAGCAACACTCCCCCACACACCCATCGGTTCTCGGGGAACACATGTCTGACTTCCGGCGGTCCCTCTCCTTCCATGTACTCCGGCTTCTGGGAGAGAGCATCTGCTCTTACGTTTTCCTCTCCCGGTACGTACTGGATCTCGAAGGAAAACTTGGAGAACTCCTGTGCCCATCGAATCTGTCTCTGGTTGAGTACTCGCGCAGTCCTCCAGTATTGACACATGACACATGGCTAGCATGATGGTGAATAATACTCTCTTAGAAAAATGTAAGATACAGAAGGGGACATTTATTTATGTATTATCAAGAAGAATAAGGAAAACTCCAGATATAAAAGGAGGTGAGGGTGGGGCAACAAAATGACAGACTGAAGTCCTCTGCAGATGATGTGGTTTTATCTTTAGGGGAACCTCTTAGTAGTGTATTAGAAGCAATAAGGCTGCTTGGAAATGCTGCAGGTTTTAAAATAAGTAGAGGGGAACCTAAGGTGTTAGTGAAAATCATGGATGCACAGTCAAAAAATGAATTACAGAGAGTGAGTGGATTGGTGATAAAGAATAAAGTGAAATATATTGGAGTATCGTTAACAGCATAAACAACAACAACCCTCCTAATATTTCAAGATAATTATATTAAAATAATTAACTTCAAAATAATATATATATATATCAGTCCATAACCAAGAAGTAGTCAATGTAATGGATTGCTGGTGGGGAACACCACGACGCCTTTCAATGGATGATGTCCAAGACAGTATAGCTTCGTCAGCTGATGATGAAATTGAATACATTACATAGAAAGAATGACAACAAAAATAATACTGAGCAACCTACAAATTAAATAATGAATAAATAATAAATGAGGAATACATACCAAATAATTTTAGATAGAATAGCCATATAGGTAAATGTAATACTTGTGGATCAGAGCTCAGTTACTTACACCAACATTGTCTAATACTCATGTCATGGGATCTTATTTAATTATATGTCCTTGCAACTTATTGTACATTGGATCCACCACACAAGCGGTAGGTGTTTGTATAGGTGAACATCGATCCTGTATAAGAAACGCAGTAATAGAGGCACCCCTAGTTGAACACTTAATCAAATACCTTCATTCAGACACAGATTTATACACGGTTCTATGGGTCAACCAGAGAAAACGTGGGATCAGGAAAGATTACGAGAGGTTATTGCGACAACAAGAAACTAGGTTGATTTATTTATTCAAATCCACACATCCAGGGGGTTTGAATTCAGAGCTAGATTTCAACTGTTTTATTTAAAGTCTGTAACTTTATGGTTTCAGCTTGCGTTGTGATGCCAGATTTGATACTCTGTACCTTTCAATTTTCTTACATTGTCCTTAATTATTTGTTATTTCCCACACCTGTGGATAAGCTTATAAGTTCTATACATCTGTTTTATCAGTATCAGTTAGCTACACTGGTTAGTGTGCTTACGGGGTCCTTGCCACGGGATCACATTCATCCAGTGCTTTACCAACTTCACTGGCTCCCGGTGGAGTACAGGGTCAGGTTTAAGGTGCTGGTTTTGACCTTTAAAGCCCAATGCGGCCTAGGACCCACGTACCTATGGGACCGCCTCTCTTGGTATGCCCCGCAGAAGAAGAAGAAGAGTTTGGATTTGATATCCCGCTTTATCACTACCCGAAGGAGTCCCAAAGCGGCTAACATTCTCCTTTCCCTTCCTCCCCCACAACAAACACTCTGTGAGGTGAGTGAGGCTGAGAGACTTCAGAAAAGTGTGACTAGCCGGAGGTCACCCAGCAGCTGCATGTGGAGAAGTGGAGACACGAACCCGGTTCCCCAGATTACGAATCTACCGCTCTAAACCACTACACCACACTGGCTGCCTTAGGGTCCACAAATGACAACATTTTGAAGGTCCCAGGTCGCAGGGTGGTTAGATTGGTCTCAACTAGGGCCTTTTTAGTACTGGCCCCGACTTGGTGGAATGCTCTGTCACAAGCGACTAGGGCCCTGCGGAACTTGACATCTTTCCGCAGGGCCTGCAAGACAGAGCTGTTCCGCTTGGCCTTAGGTTTGGACTCAGTCTGACCCTTATGTTTCCCTCCCCTTATGGTCTTGATTTATCAGCTACTTTTAAAACGAGGCTGCATTTTAAATTGCATTTTAACCTGTAATTTAAATTGGGTCCCCCCCCCATTATGTTTTTACCATGATATTATTGGTGTTAGCCGCCCTGAGCCCAGCCATTTACCTTCCCACTGGAGCAGTACCTATTTATCTACTAGTACTTTGACGTGCGTTTGAACTGTTAGGTTGGCAGGAGCTGGGACCGAGCAATGGGAGCTCACCCCGTCATGGGGATTCGAACCGCTAACCTTTTGATTGGTAAGCCCTAGGCTCATTGGTTTAGACCACAGTGCCACCTGTGTCCTGATAGGTCCTTGTAAAACCTTTACAAAAAAAATCTAGCAGAGAGTCTGTGGGTTTTGATAAACAAGAATTGGAAATTGGTGCTTTCTCAAAGTATACTAGTTTTATCAAGCTACCCTAAGCCTTTGGGAATCTTGTCACAAGAGGAGCATAAAGCTTAGCTCTGGAGTTTTTGGAGGATATACATGCCTGGTGTTCTTAAGAACACTACAGATTTAGGACATGTGGAAGATCTATACTTTGATGGCCTCCATGCCAGGGTGGGGACCACATTTCAAGACTGAAGACTTGCGAAGATGGTGTATAAGCACAGACGATATCTAAGGAGGAGGGGTGTATTAGTCTCATGATATTTCAAAAATGTGGCATCACCAGCTCCTCTGCTTCCACATACAGATTGGATCCCCGTGCAACTCCTTACAGAGGTAAATATGGCCACAACATCTGCCTGGCTTGTGATGAGAGAGCTCAAAGATTGTGAACAGGGCTCTCCATACAAAGCACCTAGCATGGGGGCACCTACATGTAATATCTACTCTG